ACATATATTTCATAATAAAGTGATAATTACATTTATCATAAAAGACTTGTTTGCAGTAACTAGCAACGTAATTTTTAATTATTCGTATTTCACTACTATATGTAACATGCCTACTTGTAGGTACTTAGTATGTTTGTACTTTACTGTTTTCCTATTAACAAAATTTTATGTGTACATAAACATTGGTTTTTAATTCATACTTTTAGGTACTCTGCGAAAGGCTTTCCACAAAAAAATGTCGTCACAACAAGAAGAGTGCAAAATGTGAAACGTTAACGTCGAATTACATATTTTATTTTCACAACAGATTTTACAGTCGCCCTGACAAAATTAGTCAAGATAATTTTATTTTACAAAATTTACTGTTGAAACCTGTCAACAGAAAACGACCAAGAAATAACACTCGAAATGGGCGCACTCATTCTAAGCAATGTTTTGTTACTAAGAACAAAACAAAAGAAAAAAATCCTGCTATGTTGCATTTTGTGGAATTTTAAGAATCAAACAAGGCCGTATTAAGGTTGTTTCTAATCAATTTGCAGCTACAGGGCAAACCCCGTCAGAAAACCGTGGAGAAAACCGAAAACACCATGCTTTTCGTTCTAAGAGAGATGCTGTACAAAATTTTATTATAAACTTCAGCCTTTAGCGTACAGCCTATACCAGTAAACGATAATCCTGAATACCTATCAGAAGATATCCTTAATTTTATGTAATAAATAAATCATGTTGGAATAACTATTTGTTACCTTATTTTTAGTCTCTAAAATAAATTTGGATTTTTATTTTAGGCATGTGTTTTATTTTTTTATATTAGCCAACCCTGAGTCCGTTCCCTTATTACCCAATTCCATCAAAACAGTCCATATTTTTACCAATAAGCCCATTGACTGAAACAACTATTGGTACAATAATAGTAGAATCAACGTCCCACATAGCGACAATCTCATGAGCCAGGTCGATATATTTAATTTTTTTATCATTCTCTGCTTTTACGAGATTCTCGTCATGAGGAACACTGATATCCACTATTATTGCCTTGCGTGTAGTTCGGTCTATCACCACAATGTCAGGTTTATTTGCCACTATAAACCTGTCTGTGATAATTGACCGATCCCAGTACAGCATGACACTTCTATTTTCAAGGACTGGTTTTGGTTCATACTTATAATATGGAACGTCCTGTTGAGTAAAGCCAAATTTAATGGCAAGCTGTTGGTGTATTATTCTAGCTACTTGTTTATGTCTGTGCAAATACTCACTATTTGATAGTTGTGAACAACCGGAAATAACATGTCTGAGGGACTCTCCAGGGTGGTGACATGCGCGATATACGTCAACTGTGCCGTCCCTCAGAATGTATCTCCGGTAGTTGTTCGTTTTAATTACTTCATCTTGTATTGCACAGATAAAACCTTCAGTTTCTGCAAAAAGGTCACCAAATTGTAACCAATGTACTGATACAACCATGTGTACACAAGGATTAGTCAATGCTTTAAAAAATCGACCATGCAGTTGTTTGTCATTCCAAACCTTTTTGCGTTCATTTATAGTCATAGTATGAGGCCTCTGCCAGTCCTTTGCCGACATATTAAGCGGGGTTAATGATTTGTCATTAATCACTACGTCATTATGAATGTGTGATGTGTCTTTTTTTTTAATGAAATAGTCTCTGAGGTTGTATAATTCACGGTTGTGCAGGTTTTTAATGTTTAATAAGCCCCGTCCACCATCTTTTCTTGGAAGATACAACCTCATGACAGGTGATCGTGGGTGGTGCATTCTGTGTGTAGTCATTAATGTACGGACTCGTCTATCTAAGTCATCCAATTCTGTTTGAGACCACCTTGTAACACCAAAAGTATATAGAAGGCTAGGTATTACCCAGGAGTTATATGCTCTAATTTTGTTTCCGCCGGATAAATGGCTTTTGATAACTTTATTATTATTATTATTATGTGGGGTATCTATATAGTTTTCTCATCTGGTTGGGATGTATAAATATATAATTGTAAATGAAAATGAAAAGATAAATATACATAAATATCAATAAAATAAAATAAATACAAAAATACATAAATAAATAAAAGCCCAACCAGATGGAAGCCCTCGGCAGGGGAGACCAAACGGCCAAGGGTTAGGGGGAAAGGGAAAGAAACCGGCGGACGATGCGGGCAGTATCAAGGAGCACCGCCTTCTGCATTTGAGCCCGGAGCGGTCCGTCACGGAGTCCCAGTCGCCTCAGATGATCAGAGAGGCTAACTGGGATTAGCCCATTCCCAGAGACGACTACAGGAATAATTTCGGTCGGCATACCACCCCACATGTCGGTCACCTCGTGAGCCAGGTCCAGATACTTTGATTGCTTATCTGTTTCGGCTTTCACGAGGTTCTCGTCATACGGGATGGTAATATCGACCAAAAAATATCCTTGACTGTGCCCGGTCCATCAGCACAATATCAGGCTTATTCGCAAGAATAGTCCTGTCTGTGATGATGGCCCGGTCCCAGTAGAGCCTGGCGCGGTCATTTTCGAGCACGGCTTCCGGCAAGTACTTGTAATACGGCAATTTACGGTCCACGAGACCGTATTTCAGAGCGAGCTCCTGGTGTAGAATTCTGGGTACTAGGTTGTGCCTGTGCAAGTACTCAGAGTTAGAAAGCGCCGAACAACCGGAGATGACATGCCTAAGTGACTCACCGGGATGGCGACAAGCTCGACAGACGTCGAATTTATTATTATTATTAATCTATATAGTTTTCTCATCTGGTTGGGATCTATAAATATATAATTATAAATGAAAATGAAAAGATAAATATACATAAATATCAATAAAATAAAATAAATACAAAAAATACATAAATAAATAAAAGCCCAACCAGATGGAAGCCCTCGGCAGGGAGACCAAACGGCCGAGGGTTAGGGGGAAAGGGAAAGAAACCGGCGGACGATGCGGGCGGTATCGAGGAGCACCGCCTTTTGCATTTGAGCCCGGAGCGGTCCGTCACGGAGTCCCAGTCGCCTCAGATGACCCGAGAGGCTGACTGGGATTAGCCCATTCGCAGAGACGACTACAGGAATAATTTCGGCCGGCAGACCACCCCACATATCGGTCACTCCGATAGTTGTTGGTCTTAATAACCTGATCCTGTATTGCACAGACAAAACCCTCGATTTCCCCGAAGAGGTCACCGAAAAGTAGCCAGTTGAGGGAGGCGACTGTATCTACGAAGGGCTCATGAAGAGCCCTGTAGTACCTCCCGTGGAGCTCCTTCTCCTTCCATACGGTCTCCCCGTCGGAAATGCTAAGCAGCAGAGCTGGGCACTGCCATTTCTCGTTGGCTAAGGATAGAGGGGTAAGCCCTTTATCACTAGAAATAACGTCATTATAGAATGGATCATCCGATCTTGCCAGGAAGTTACGATTATGCATGTTGAGCGCGCTCAGAAAACCACGCCCACCATGCTTTCGCGGTAAGTACAGCCTCATTACCGACGATCTCGGATGATGCATCCTATGGGACGTCATGGTAGTGCGGACTTTTCTATCCAGGGCGTTAAGTTCGGTCTGAGTCCACCTGAGTATGCCAAAGGTATATATGAGGACAGGCATGACCCAACCGTTATATGCGTGTGTCTTATTCACACCGGACAAAAGGCTGTTAAACACTTTGGTCAAGCGTGCATAAAACACTTCGCAAACTGACTGTTTTATACCAGCCTCATCGATATCGATGTTCTGTGACATACCCAGGTATCGGTATGTTTCAGCCTCGGAAAGGGTCTTTAAGTTGACGGACATAGATAAATCTATGCCCTCAGAGTTAGCAACCCTTCCCCGTTCAACATGAAGGCCCGCACACTTATCCGTCCCCAGCTCCATTCCAATAGAATTGCTAAATTCGCAAGTGATGTTTAGCAATTCCATAAGATGGGAGCGACTGGAGGCGAATAACTTGAGGTCATCCAAATAGAAAAGGTGGGTCACTTTCGTTCCTCCCTTCCGTAGCTGAAATCCTCTCCCGGAGCCCTCCAGTAAGGTACTGAGAGGGTTCAGAGAGAGGCAGAACCTGATTGGACTCAGACAATCGCTCTGGAAGATACCCCTTCTTATCCTTATGTAGTTCTCCGCAGCCATCATCCGCTCGCCCAGACAACAGAGGATCGTACTCCACTGCCCCATACACTGCTCGACGAAGTCTCTGACTGTACAGTCTATCTTGTACAGCTCGAGGACCCTCTTTAGCCATGTATGGGGCACCGAGTCGAATGCTTTTCTGTAGTCTATCCAGGCGGCGGAGAAGTTCCGACGGTTGCGTTTCACCACTTTGCCAATGACCGCGTCAATGAGGAGTGGTTCCTTGGTTCCACGACCACCGCCCCGACATCCATTTTGAGCACGTGACATCACCTGATTTAGCTCCAGGTGACGAGTGATTCTCGCGCTCAAAATGGATGTCAGTGTCTTATATATAGTAGGTAGACACGTGATGGGGCGGTATTTGCTCGGGTCTGTGGTATCCTGATCTTTAGGAACCAAGTGAGTGATCCCAGTAGTGAAGAGGCTCGGGAGCGACTTCTGATCGAGAGCCTCTTGATACTGTCGGGCGACCACAGCGTGACACACCACGAACCCCTTCAGCCAGTAATGATGCTGCCCGTCGAGCCCCGGACTTTTCCAGTTCGGGGACCTACGGACCGCCTCAGTCACGTCTTCAGGCGTTATGGTGACGGGGTCCATAGGCGTAACTTTTGCACTCAGACTCGCCACAACTTCCATCCAAGGGCCCTCGCTGTGGTTTACGGGCTCTGACCACAGGCCACGCCAAAATGCGACAGTGTCAGCCTGATCCGGTCCTGGGCCCGCTCCACATACCTCTGGTCGCTCCAATGATTTATAGAGCCTCTTCTGATCATTCTGGAAGAGACGATTCTGGTTGAACCGCCTTGACCTCTCGCTAAATCGTCGAATCCGCTTCCCCCAAGCAGCGATTTTTTGCTACAGGTCATCTATGCGCTCCGTTAGTTTCTGCGTGATATCAGGCTGGGACAAACTAATATTTGTCCCAGCAAACGCCATTCTAACGGTGCGCACAACACTCGGTCTATTATTACCCGACCTGAAGCTTGTCAGTAGGCCGATAAGGGCCCTTGCCTTTGCGATACGGTCCTCGATTCTTTTTCTCCAGGCTGGGATGGCACTACCTTGTTGAGTAGCACGTCCATCCATGGGAAGTTTGGCGCCAATAATACGGCATACTGCCAGTGCGGCGCCAAAAAGAATTGAGTCCGTCTCGCAAAGGTCCCAGCTGGCTTCCAAATAGGTCACCAGCATTGGGTTAAGAGCCCGCACGACAGCCCGATTTCGTTTGCTAAGGGGTATGCGGGGAAGTCGCGGTCGATTTTCGAGAGGCATGCTGCGCGTTTCCAGCATCGACTCTTCCAATATGCTCCTCATTTTCTCTAGTTCGTGGGGGACTATTCCATCATCGTCCGAATCAACCACAAATGGAATATTGAATGCAGCGTCCACATTTGCAGTTTGCTGTGCAATTAGTGGCGCCGCATTCCCAGCCGTAGCAATTCCATCCGATGAGGGAACAGCCTCACGTCGTAGTCGTTGGAGTTCGGCGTCACCAAATATGTTGGAGCGCAGGATGTACCGAACTCGTTCTGCCAGGTTTTGCTCAGTGACGGATAGAGATGGCTCCAGCTCTGCAAAAAAGCGATGCATCCGAGCCCGATATGCCAAACATTCGGTTTCTTCCCCTTTTGCCCTAAAGTACGCCCGCAGAGCGTTTGCGTGTGTCCCAGAAATATGAACACCATAAGTGAGGCGCTGCGATCGCTAAGTTCGCTCAATAAAAATCATTTTCTGTCTATTTTTCCGATCAGATGCTAAACCACTTGTACATCCACGCACAATAAAATATTTCTCCATTTTTTAATGTTTCTTTTTATCAAAAATTTAAAAATTACGGAGCATGAAAATTTTCTCACCAATGCCGCGAAGAAAATTTGCACATTATTCAATTAAATTCATCTACTTGTTCTCATAAACAGCTAACTTTGCAGTCACTACTTACTGACGTCAGTGCCGCTATAAATTCTACAATTTTCAAGGATAGGCGGGCTCTGCTTTAGTATTTAGCGATCGTTCTCCTGTTCTTTAACCCTTAAAAGTCCGGCGTCTCCGTATGGAGACGTCTATGTCTCCTTGTTAGACCGCGCCAAAGAGTATACTAATATTTAGAGGGACGCCTTAGAACCAAGGAGTATATGATCACTAAGTTTACTCGAAACCATAGATAAGATTATAAATAACATTTAAAAATAATTATATCATTATATAGTTCACATATTAAACTTAAAAACTTGGTAATATTAAATTGCTGATAGACGCGCGCTACTTAAAAAAATTATATACGTGTTATGATATTCAGTGGAAGCTCTAGGCCATAACTCGAACCTCGTTAAGTTGAAATCCTTTTATATATATTGTATAACTTTTGCCTTAAAGTGCATTGTTTCCGAGATATCGGCTGAAAACGTTTTTTCAAGATGGCGTTTGAAGCGCCATTTGGATCTGTCAGGATTTTGTGATTTTATGCTGAATAAGTGATCCTAAACATCATAAAAAAAATTGAATCGGAAATTTCGTGCAATGTTAAATTCCATTTTTACTGTAATATTTCATTAAACATTTTATTTGTCAACAACGTCTTACAATCATTTCTCTAGCGCTCACGTGACCTTCACACAAATAATTCGATATTTTAATTATTGATAATTTTTATTTTTGGATAATAACATGGTAATGACTTTAAGTTATATTTACCTTCATTTAAAAAAATTGTTTTTGGCCAAACCTACTATACTCTTTGGCTTGACCATAGGTCAGACTAATAGGTCCATAGACTGACGGATATCACGAATGGTTTACCTTCATGCTCTGGACTATGGAGTGTAGAGGTAAGGAGTACAGACTGTGTATTAAAAAGTGTCCGTACAAAACCGTTAAATAAGGGTGGCGCCACTATAGCTACGGGGTAAATTTTAAAGAACACGCCGAAAAATATTTGTAGGATAGACGACTTTTTCGAGGTTATATTTACAAAATAAAATTATTTTAGATTTTAAAGCTACTGTGCCGTTTAGCAGCACACTTCACACCGTCGACAACTGCTAAGTTTATTTCATGTAGTTGTTTCCTCCAGCTACTCCAGCGCTGTTGTGGAGAGTTTTTGAACTGTTATTTATTGCTTACAGATGGACACTTTTTCAACTATTATCCTATGCGAGATTGTTCTCCTTACCTCTATACTCCATACTCTGGACTATAGTAGTTGCCAGTTTCTCAGAGTAATTACTAACATAGAGATAGTCCTAAAATAGTAATAAAATTCATAAAGCTGAACTCTTTATACATTTGACGTTTGATATAGTACAAAATAGGATAGCTATGGTTCAGGTATGACAGCTGTCAGTAAAAATCACGCCTATGAAACAAGTCCTGAATGTCTTAGTAGTGCAGACAGTACCTGTCAATGTCATACTTTACGGGCATGCACTAATTAGGTCGGCATGCCCATAAAGTATGACATTGACAGGTACTGTCTGCACTACTAAGACATTCAGGAATTCATAGGCGTGATTTTTACTGACAGCTGTCTCAGAGATCAAGCTATCTTTTATGAACTATATATTATTTTCACCGTAGACAGAGAAACCTATAGACAAATTCGCATTCGCACACGAAAAAGATAGATGTATGCATACGTCTTGCATAGAAATGAGACAGAGCGGTGTGATTGTTTGTCCCTTTCTCCGTGTCGGCTTTTTTGTTTAGCTAACTACACTTTGCTATAAAACTTTGACAGTTCCTAGCGATCTAAGGAATTTACAAGTTGGTTTAAGTGAGAAAAAAGTGTTTTGTGAGGTTAAGATTGGTGAATCTTGTTCAGTTCAGTTCTTAGAACAGTTAAAAATTTTATCTAAATATGTTTAAAACTGATACAGATTATTGTATAACCTAAAACAACGTTATCGTCCTTTCTCACTCTAAGCCACGCTAATCATTAGTCTATAGGTTTCTCTGTCTACGATTTTCACCTTCTTTCTTTTACAAGGTGGTTGCCGTTTTTTCATTCCATAGACACCTCTATTGATGTACCTACGTTAGTACTCTTATTAGTTTCTGGATGTACCATTAGCGAAATAAAAAACTTTGTTAATAAATTCATTTAGTCTATGATCTAGTATATATTCAGTAATCTATGGTCTATGACTTAGTAAAATTAAGGATTTTTATTAATCCAGTTCGTAATATAATACCTTTAAACGTATATATGCAGGGAGTTTCGGGGGCAATAAATCGATCTAGCTCAAATTCAATTTTAGCAAATTTCGTTTTATTAGTGTTTTCCGAGGCAATGATAAACCGCTACAATATCATTAGAATAAGAAAGTAAATTTTGACAAAGCCTTGTAAGGCCTTTGCAAAAAGGCCTTACAAGGCTTTGTCAAAATTTACTTTGATCTAGTATATATTCAGTAATCTATGGTCTATGACTTAGTAAAATTAAAGATTTTTATTAATCCAGTTCGTAATATAATACCTTTAAACGTATATATGCAGGGAGTTTCGGGGGCAATAAATCGATCTAGCTGAAATTCAATTTTAGCAAATTTCGTTTTATTCGTGTTTTCAGGCAATGATAAACTGCTACAATATCATTAGAATAAGAAAGTAAATTTTGACAAAGCCTTGTAAGGCCTTTTTGCAAAAGACACGAAAAATTAAATTAAACTAATTCCACTCATGACTTTTTATTTAAATAATCAGTTCAGTTTATTTTATTATGTCGGTAAGATCAAAAAATATTATTGATATTTCATCAGTACGTAAATTGTATCTAAATATATTTTTCAAAAAACACAATTTCCAAAAATATACCGAACAAAGCTCGGTCATTCAGGTACTACTTATTTATATCAACAACAATGGGTGCTGTAAAGCACCCGAAACGTCGGGAATTAAAAATATGTTAAAATAAGTTTGTTAAACGCAATAAAATCCGTATTATATAGCTTGATTCAATCATCACTTGATTTAGAAAATAATTTACTTGTTCGTTGGAATAATAATAAGTCTAGTCCTATTTTTTAAATATTTTTAGGCATGTAAAGTAATAAAAATAAGTAACTAAACAAAAACGAGTACATCGATGTCGATTGTAGCTAACATTGCGAACGAAATCACTTTTAATTAAAGACGTAATGTCTTGTAAAGTAATGTCACACATAATCTCGCTCGAACAAGCTCGAAGTCAGAAGATAAGTAGCTCTCGCTATGTAAGTGTTGAAGGTGATGAGGAGTAGGATACACAACCCGAGAGTGCTGAAGATGGTGTGACTCAATGCACCGGATGGATGCGCGGGGCGCTGGTGGCGGTCGTCGTTGCTGACGGTGCCGCGCGCGAGCACCGCACTGATGCAGTGTGATCAACACCATTTCGAAACGAACTGATTTGTTTACTTATTAGCTGAGTGAGCTCAATAGTGTGGCATGTGGTATTGTATCTTTGGCTACACTGTCAAATAAGGGTGCTCATGTTTCAAGCAAATGCAATTAGGGTGTAATGAATGTGTATGTTGTATGTAAATAAAAAAACTACTACAATGGGGATGTCATTTCCTTAGTAATTCAGAACATACGAGTGTACTTATTCTCATATTTGGCACAGTATAGTGAAACCAAAGATGACCACTTGACATTTTTATTTCCACGCTTGAATTACACACAACATCTTTCAATAGATTTGTCTATTTTTGCCTTATTCGAAAATTAAATAAGAAAAAGCTAGACAAGTATATTGACTCAATTTATGTTGAATTGTAGGTTCTCTCTATACATTCGTATATATGTAACCACTCTAAGGCCAGTTTGTCATTGGTTTGTCATGTAGAGTTTTTGGCGGGAACTTGTCCGTATAGACGGATTGTCGTTCCTGTTTTGTCGCTTGAATAATAGTTTGAAGTGGATTTTGATTCGTAAAAATGATGCGATTCTGTGAATTAAGTTTCCGTGCGTGTGAACTAATAAAGAAAACGACGAAACAAGTGCTTTGATGTCGATATAAACCTCAGGTTATTCTGATCGTTTGGGTGCCTTATGAGCTAGAGTGGCTGTCATAGTCAACTGTACGCTGTGTTGAGCTGTCGTCAAATTCTCTAAAGGGCTCGCAATGTGACGCATCAGCATATTGTGAAGATAAAATATAAAAATGAAGATTCCGAAAGAAATGATAGGCTCAGAAGGGCTAGAACCCAGAGCTGTAAAGCCAGTTAATAAAAAATGGTTAGTCATTGTTGTCTAATGTCAAATTGTCAAACTTGAAACTTTGTTTTGGGGGATCTTGGCGGGCATCTAAATTATAAAAATAAAATACTGTGTTATTATAATATTAATAATATACGTTTTCTTGTCCATGAAACCTTTTATATTTATCCACTTTCTATTTATAACAGATGCTTAAAATTGTGTAAACATTTTGGCTTAAACCTAAAATAACTTTGATTTATTTACTACTTAAACTTATTTTGATTTCATATTAAACTCCAAAATGTGTGACTATCCCGATCCCGATGAAGAATACGAACTCATGTATTCAGATGAGTTCGAGCTAATACGAGAAATCGAAGATAAGACAGGTGAAAAAGTAGTTTTTACTACATATGTTTACATCACATGAATTAATCTAATTTTGAGTTATGTTTTGAGTATATGTAAATAAACCTTTTTAATTCATAATTTCATAACATCTTATTAGAAGCCCACAGCTGAATATAAGCCTCGCCATAGGTTGCTTCCCAGGGATATTTGACATAGTTGCCAAGCTTTACTCTTGGCAAGGGGATTGGCAACTGCAATTTTTTATTTTTTTGAGCAGTTATCAAGGAGATGCTGCTATCCAATCTCTCATAGACATCCATGGGACAATATAGGGTAGTGTATATTCTTATACTGCCACTACATGGTAAATAACCTGTTGGTAATTTTTTATTAATTTTAGAAGAGTTAATTGTGCATACTGGTATGCGAAGTGTATGGCAATCATCCACTAGAAGGCGGTTTAAGACTATGAACTTGTGAAGGGTTGTCATGATGATTATGATGATGAGGAAATGAATTAATTAAGTATATAAACATCAGAAGTGTTGTAACTTATAATACAGTTAATTATACTTCATATATATACTCATCTTAACAAAATTATTTTCTTATCTAGGTTCAAACCTAATTAAAAAAAAGTCACTACCAGCGAAAAGAAGTCTAGATTTCTCAAATCATAATGCTAATGATATACCTGATGAAAAGGATGATAAAAAAGAATCGGAAAAAAAAGATGATGCAATATCTTTAACACCTAGTTTACAAAATATGGATGATGTCCTTATCTCTTCAACAAATTCTTCAAACAAAAGAACTGCAGAGGATTTATTTGGTGATATAGGTGACATTGACTTTGATAGTATAGAGTTGCCAAGTAAAAGACAGAAGACAGAAGAGGAAACTGATATGGACTTAATTAATAAAATTTTGGAGGGAAGAAGACTTAAACAAATGTTATTAGAGCCTGCAAATCGTGTTAATGTTGATAAGAAAGTGAGCTTTGATGTGAAAGAAAATATATCAATTAATATACCAAGGTAATTTTAATATAATTGTTCAATATTACTTGGTTGGTGTACTGGTTAGTGGCAAAGTGTAATTGGTGTTAAACCATATGTCATCAATGAATATAACATTGTTCCAATTCATTTGCATATTATTTTTACAATTTGCTTCTTTTGTTTTTAGTTAGACAGTTTTCTTTTTAAGTTTTGTTTTTAGTTTTTTACGCGGTAGAGCCATGATGCAGTTATATTATAGTTGTAGCATGATTGGGTCGGCTTGGTCTGGGGAAAGACCACACTCTCACAGATTACCAGTGTAAAATAGCAGCGTAATGCTGCTGTGTTCATATGGTGAGTGTAGAGCCGGAGACCCGTTTTACTGGAATCGAGGCATTCCACCTTAGTCCTCAGGGGTGACAACACATATGCATTTTGATTCTTGTGGATGTCTATGGACCACAGCATCCACTTACCACAAGGTAGATTGTGCTTGTTTGTCACCTAAAGCTTAAAAAAAAATCTTTCATAAAAATGTTATTTTTTTGCATTTGTGTCTCTTGATAATTATTTTGTATTTGTCAAGTTTTTTGTAGCGAAACCAATACCTTTTCATATGGCAATGACTCTATACTATGATGGTACAAGGGCGCATTTTCTAAACTTACTCGCAACTTCGCCACAGTGAGATTCACAGAAATTATGAAAAAAGTTAGATTTTATTTAATTCATTATACATATAATTTATACAAGTCTAAAAATAAAATTTAAAATAAACAAATAATAAATTAAAAAATTTAAGATTTGATTATTTGAATATTTTACTCAATTATTCACATTAGTATTAATTTGAATAATCCAAACACCACAGTAAGGTGCCTAACGACATCATTGAAACAACATCAAATATAAAAGTTGATTCTGGTTAACTTTCTTATATTTTAATTTGTTTGAAAGATGCTCACTATACATGTTATAATGAAATATAGATAACTTCATAATTCTTTGGATTTATGTAAAAGGTTATTTTTAATCAAATGAGTATGCTTGTACAAAGTTGTTATGGAATGATTAATGTGAACATCAAAAGGTATTTCTTAGATTTAGTTGAGTATAATCAAAACTTTGATCTATAAGGCTCTGGAGCTAAAATGATGTTTTGTTTGAAGAGTTGAGTTGAGTATAAAATTTCTTTAGTAAACCTAATAATACAAAATATAACATGATAAAGTAATAGGTGCTTATTTAGATAAATGAAGTTTAATAGATGGAAGTGATTGTAGGCCTAGAACTCCTGTACCATCCTTGAACATCTGTTTAAGCCTGATCTAATGGTTTAATCAGCCAGTATTTTTTATAGCATTGGGTGACAAACAAGCTCACAGTATGGTAAGTGGATGCAGTGGCCCATAGACAGTCACATTTGTCCTCAATTAAGAATCAAAATGCAAATGGCTTGAATCCTCTCACGCATCCCAGAGGACTAAGATGAATGCCTCGCTTTCAGTAAAAACGGTTTTCGATTCTCTGCACTCACCATACAAAACAAGGCAGCACTATGCTGCTATTTTACGCTGGTATTCTGTGCGAGCATGGTCCTGCTCTGGTTGAACTGACCCACTTGTGCTACAACTATAATATAGCTGCAGTGTGGCTCTACCATGTAAGACCAAACCACCACCAGTTTATTGAATTATTAGTTAAACAACATGCAATTCCTAGCCTTAATGTTGAATAACTACGGATTTAGCTTAATAAAAGCCTTTTTATTCACTCTTTGGTTTGAGACACATAACAATGTGGTAATTGAATCAAAAGACATGCTAACAAACTATTCCCCTTTATTGATGTATGCTGTAAATCACTTTCCAAGCATTTGGTTGTTGGATGGTGGAAGGTAGAGGAAGAAATAATTTATTCCTGCCACTGCGTTGCTGTCAATGCACTTGTGTGTATTTTTGCAAGCAATGTTTCTATAGTTCTCAGAGGTAGTCATCTTCACCATCTGTATTTTGAATCTTAATTGGATCAGACGTGTCTAATGGGCAATAGTATCCACTTACCTAAATTCTATCATTTCCTCAGGATAAAATGAAATAATGAATGGTTATTTCTACATTTCAGATGGTCTTTTGTCCCAATAACAAATGCTAATGGAGACCGTTTATATATAAGACTTGAATCTGAAGATGCTTGGGATAAATCATTAGACATTAATACAGGACAGCTGTCACTACGAGCTACTTATGCCTCTGTATGGGAAGAAGCACACAAAATTGTAAGCATATTTATATTATTAAAGACAGAGTGAAATTGGCCTTAATTTATAGTAAATGTGAAATAAGGTGATTGTCAACATAAAAAAAATGAGACAGAAACAGAAACATTTTTATTCAATATAGATTATAAATAGCAATTATTGAAGGTCCCTTTTTATAATTTAACACTGGTTCGGAAAAACCTCTTTCCTTGGAAGAATCAGCAAGAAACCCAGAGGGACTCTTTTGTAAAAATAAAAACTTACAATCATGTTACAATTATCAACACAAAACAAATAAATAATTTGGTGGCGATCACCCTCCAGGGGTAATATCATCCATAACTTCCTTAAAACATAATATAATAAACCTTTTTATACAAACTTAGTTTGATAAAGTTTTTGGACTTTGTGCAAGTCAAATTTTATATATTCTCTGGAATTTTGTTGTAAAAGCATATACATTGCCCCAAGAATAAATTACTGACTCGGTATAGTCGAGTAACTGGTACTACTAGCTTGTGTCTGTTCCTAGTATTTACAGAATGAATATCACTATAAAACTAATTTAATTTTTGTGTATGTACATTACATTTCATTTTCATAAAACCAATGTAATTTCATACAATAAATATATAAAATGCCATACGACATTGTGCTATGGAAATTTCTGAAGTAAACTAATCTAGCTGTTTCAACACTAGTAAGATTTCTAATCTTTTTTAGAGAATATGCGGCAGAACTAAGTCTACTTGCTAGTTTTGATATATGGTTAGATGTTTGACATTTGAAGCTATGAATTTCATACATTTAGTTTTAGTGGCAATTAAAATGCATATTATTATTTACATTAAATCAGTTTACTAATTTAGGTATTGCAGTATTTCATCATCATCATCATCATCATTACAGCCCTTCACAAGTCCACTGCTGAACATAGGCCTCCTCGAAGTAATGCCATAAAGCACGGGCCTGAGCCTTCTGCATCCATCGACTTCCTGCATGTCTTACGAGGGTGGGTTGAAAAGTACTCGGCCTAACCAAGAAAATAAACACATACTAAATCAGTTATATTTTTATTTTTCTACATAATCACCATCAAGTTCAATACACTTTTGCCACCTCCCCTTCCAAGCATTGAGACCGTTGAAAAAAAAATGATTCTTCCTTAGAGTCAAAATATGCGTCTACAGCTGCTTTGACCTCGTCGTTTGTCGAAAATCTTTGACCTCCCAAGTGCTTTTTTAGGTTAGGGAACAGAAAGAAGTCTGATGGTGCCAGATCAGGTGAATACGGCGGATGCGGTAACAGTTCAAAGCCACAGTTGTGAATTTCAGCCATTGACTGTACTGACGTGTGAACACGGGCGTTATCTTGATGAAACAGGACTTTTCTTCTGAGCATTCCTCGACGTTTTTCTTTTATTTCCTCTCGTAAACGACGTAGTAAGGTGCAGTAGTAATCAGAGTTTATAGTCTGACCCCTTTCAAGATAATCAATCATAATCACACCTTTCGAGTCCCAGAATACTGAAGCCATCACCTTATTTGCCGACGAAATCGACTTAGCCTTTTTAGGGGTGGTAAACCAGGTCTTCTCCACTGTTTTGATTGTTGTTTTGTTTCCGGTGCACAGTAATGAACCTATGTTTCGTCCATAGTAACAAAACGATTCAAAAAATCATCTGCATCGGCTTCAAATAACTCCAAACAGTCGCGTGAAATAGTCAATCGCGTCCTTTTTTGTTCAACTGAAAGCAGTCGCGGAACCCACCTCGCAGACACCTTGTGGAAACCCAACTCGTTGACAATGATGTTTTGAGTTCGTTCATAAGAGATGCCTATAATCTCGGCTATCTCTCTAATTTTTAATCTGCGGTCTCCCATTATTAAATCAAGTACTTTTTTAATATTTTCGTCTTCCAGAGCGGGGTTCATCTTTCACACTCTCTCTATCACGCTTAAATTCTGGTATCCATTTTTTGACGGATGAATATGACAGAGCACAATCGCCTAATGTACAGACCATGTCATCATGGATGGCTTTTGATGATAGCCCCTTCTTATGGAGGTACTTAATGACGGCACGCTGCTCGATTTGCTCCATTCGCGGAAATTATGTCCGATTACTTTGTTAATAAATTTATAAAATCACAACTAATTATCGCACACATTTCGAACTTCACACAATGAACTAGTCTGAACTGAACTAAATAATGTGTGGGTAGATTTGATTTTTAGAATTGAATGGATCTGTGTTAGCCCAGTACTTTTCAATCCACCCTCGTACCAGGTCGTCAGTCCATCTAGTGGTGGTCACCCTACACTACGCCTACCGGTGCGAGGCTGCCACTCGAGAACCTTTCTTCCCCATTGGTTATCGGTTCTTCGAGCTATATGGCCGGCCCATTGCCACTTAAGCTTACTATTTCGTTGAGCTATGTTGGTCACTCTGCTCTTACTATGGATAACCTCATTCCTGAGTTCTGATAGCTCGCTGAGCGACCTTGAGCGTCTTTTCTACTAGCGACACGGAAGAACAGATACTATTGATGACAACTTTTTGCGTTCTGTTACTTAAGAATGAAATAATTACTTTAAGAGCATCAATTCTTTCCATAGTGTTTAAGTTTCCTGATTAATGTTTCATGGTGCACACAATCGAAGGCCTGGGACATGGGCACAATGGATAGGTCACAGAATATACCCAAAGCATACTGTGAATTTTCCCATGCATTGAAGATATATTTGATCAGCTCAACACCAGCATCGGTTGTTGAGCGACCCCTTGTGAAACCGAATTGATTTTTATCTAGTAAATTAATTACATTAAAAAAAAATAACATTTGATCAAGATTCTTTTTTAAATTTTACTTAATTGTTGACATATATATATAATATCATTGACAGGTCAAATATTTAAGCAAAATGTAGAAATAATAGACAAAAAAGTAGATATAGTAGGTAGGTTGTAGGATTGTTACAATAATTAAAAATTATAATAAAATAAGTGTCAAATGTCAATAAAAAAATTAAAATGTCGGTTTTAACAATAAATATCCAAAAATAATATTAGTATCCAGAGTTATCACCACACATCATTGTTTCAATATATTGATCTATCGTATAGAAGGCTTTTTTGACAAAATATCTTATATGTTTTTAGGAATTATATTGTTAATTTAATTTAAAGAGGACTAGATTTAGATAATCTAAATTTAGGAACTTCTAGCATACACAATGGCAACGCTTAGCCGCTTTCTGCATCAGTTACTATGTTCATGTTCATCTATAAAATAAGGGCGATAAACATGAACATAGTTTACCTGATGGTAAGTGGATGCTTTGGCCCGTAGACATCAATATCTAACCTCGATTAAGAATGAAATGAAATGCCTCAATTCCAGTAAATAGGATCTCCTGTTCTCTACCCTTACCTTACACAGCACAGCAGCATTAAGCTGCTATTTCACGCTGCTATTTTGTGAGAGCGTGGTCCTTTCCCAGTCGAACCGACCTATTCGTGCTACAATATAGCTGCGTAATATAGCTGCAACATGTCCTGCCAAATAAATTTTCTATGACTGAATTAAATGCTGAAACGCTAAATCGAGCTTCCGCAAAGTACCTAACTAAATCGCCGATCGCCGATGTTAAAAGTTTAGTGTTTGCTTTGGCTCTTAACTAATTACTATTTTATTATTTTTCTTCTTTATCGCACCATTATAGGCAGAATATGCTTCAATCCTCACACGGCAGGCGAATTGACGATCGCAGTATCTCTGTCTGGGTATTTTTCATCTGGCGTAAAGGGGGAGGTTAAATTATATGTTATATCGGAAAGAAATTTTTTCTGTTATTTCCCAGTCGCCTCTAAGATCAAAAAAAAAACACACACCACCCGTCACCAAACTCCCCCCCTTCCCTCCCCCACATGACAATATATATATATATATATATATATATATATATAGTGGAGTGGCGGATTTCTTTTACTAATCCGCACTGTCAATATTTTTTTTATTAAATAAACAAGTGACAAATGAACTAATGCTAATTGGCTAATGCTGCACATAGACAGCCCAACAAATAAAGAAGGCGATAGATTCGTTGTCACCTCTGAGAACTAAGATGGAATGCCATAGATTTTTGCTTACGTTCTATTAAATAGTGCATGAAAATCGGAAAGCGTGAAAATATTACCTGGGGATGCACAGGCAATGACATTGGCATTTGAATCACCTTTACATACACCCTCAAAGTAGATAGGTATCGTAATATAATGTAATGTTACAGCCTAATGCAAGTATGTCCCACTACTGGGCACGGGCTGGGCATTTCTGAAATCGCTATGGAGCAATTAGTATACTCACCTCCATCCTCAAAATATAGTATTCCAGGGACATGCTGCTTTCCTTACAATGTTTTCCTTTTACATTATAAATCAGTTTATATATTACGTTATAGTACATATTGATGTTTTTATTTTCAAAATTATCTAGTTTGCTGATATTTCTTATATTATTATATTATTTGATATACTATAATTTATACCTAGGAAAAAATTTATAAGCCCATATTTTTCAGCTAGAAAACAAAGAACAAGAAAGAATTAAAAAGGAAGAAGAAGTATCAGAGGCTGCACCACATGGAGAAAATGAGAGTGCTATGTTATGGGTTGAAAAGTACCGTCCACATTCTTATCTTGATCTTTTGTCTGAGGAACCTGTTAATAGGGCTTTGCTGCACTGGCTACATCTTTGGGATAAGGTTGGGCAAAATTATTTTTTTTGCTTATTACTACGTTTTTTTCTTATACTACATTCTAATATTAATTACTTGCATATTATTTTAAAAAATTAGACTAATCAAAATTGTTTATTGTGTTAGAGCTAACATAAAGTTGGAATGGAGTGAAAACATTTTAAACTAATGTAAGTATTTTTTGTCATCGAGTTTTTATAATTTCTACTCATTTTGTAGTATTTTGTCACAATATTGACTTCAAATTGCTGAAATTGTATGAAATTTGATCAGATTATACATAATATAATTCTTTCTTGAAATAATAATGTTTTTAAACTATACTGGACCTAAGACTTAAGACAACTTTGAATGTTCTTACATTTTTATGTCTTATAATATTTCTTCTTATTACCTAATTCATTTAAGTAAAAAAATCACAATCCATCCACTTATAAAGTGGATACTGCCCTAGGATACTATAGGCAAAACACAACTTCTAACAAAGAAGGAAACATATGTGTTGTCTTCCTTATGGACAAGTATAAAATGCTTAATGAAGTGCTTTATAATCTGTAATAATACATATATAGTATCACGCCTGTAATTCCGAGGGGGTTGGTACAGTCCAAAGGGGAACGCGCAACTCGGACCACATATAGCCAAGAAATGTTGGGTTTAGATGGTAAATTGTGAAAGAAGTGCTAGATGGCTAGCCCGTCGCCTACATAACCACAAACCCAATAACCCGTTTAGTTGCCTTTTACGACGTACATAGTTGACACATTCTTTTTGTTATAACTTCCAACATGGACCCTATATGTTCCAGACCAACATGTTCTATGGGCACACTAGCATTAGATTAGAAAAGTATCAATTTGTCAAAAAAATATCAGTGCGTTTATAAGGTATCTACACAGATTGATTCCCAGGCAGAAATGAAAAAAGAGACACGCGCCTAATAAACAGGTTGTTGCTATATATTGTTGCGTGAATAAGTCAACGTCATACACTAGCGCCATCTAGTGTCAGGAACGAGAGCGAGGGGAGCTTTGCAGAAAATGACATCACAAATCTTTCAACCGACAGCGCCATCCGAAGAACTAAGTTTCTAGAAAATCTACACTCGAACACTCGTCGCTTTGCGCGCATTTACTTGAATATTCCGGATGCTTCATTGCTAATTTGTATATATAGGCGCTGCAAGATGCGATCGGGGCAGTATTGGATTTGGCGAGACAAGCGAAGCTTCGGAGCGGAATAAAGTGAATTAGTGTGTTTAATTATTAGTGTTTTAAGTTTTGATTGGTGTAAATAAAATTAAAGTGTTAATTTAGGTAATTCTATCGGCAATTTCTATTGTCACGAACCTCAAGCTCGTAACAATATTAATAAATATGTATGTTCTTAGGTGGTGTTTAAAAAGGAAGTAAAAATGAAGGATCCTCAACAACGCAACAGTTTCAGCAAGAGGGCCGGTCAGTTCCAATTGACAAACAAATGGAAGGGCAAGAAAGAGTCTGAGCCTGAGATAGACGAAGACGGACGACCGCACCATAAGGTCGCATTGCTGTGTGGACCTCCTGGAGTTGGAAAGACTACTTTGGCACACCTTTTAGCTCGATTAGCTGGTTAGTTATCTATTTATGTCCATGCATTAGAGCTCTTACCGACGGGAAGCAATTTGAAGGCGACTAGGGCAACTGCTTCCATTACTGTTTTAGAGCCAGAGTAAATGTGTATGTCTTTAGAAATAATTTTGTTGATGATATAAAAATAGTAACAAATAAATAATGTCCATTTTACACATTAGTTTAGTAGATATTATCCACGGTTTTAGTTTTTTTTTTTATATTTGTAATTTACAAAAAATTATGTAATATTTCATGCAATGAAGTCGCTAGTATGTGAATATATTTAGGCTGTCTAAACCATAACATTCGATTTGATAGACCCATACACTTATTAGTATAATACTGCGTATGGACCGGGTCATTGCACAAACAGAATGGCACAGACTCCTTGGTGCAAAAATGTATATGGAGCACCAATACGAGCCGTGCGTCCGTGCAGTGTTTCCACTTTTACATATATTGCACTATTTTAGGGTAAATCTACTAATATAGGTAGGGCTTTAGGCATTTCTTCAAGTTGACAGGGATTTGGATAATTTAGGGTAAATTCGAACTTCAGGTAACCCTGTTTTTATATCCAATGTAATTTTTTTTAAAGATTTATTGAAGGAGATAGGGTCAAAAGAGCTAGAAAAGTGTAGAGTGAAAGTCTTTCATTCTGTATATCGGAATAATGGCATAATATTATACTTAGTTACATATTTGTTATTCATATGAGACTAAGTGTTATTATTATTTGAAAATGAGAACGTCTTCTTCATCACAAAACTCAAGATTTTTAATCGTGAAATGATATTGAAATCTTGCAATTATGTTGTTCTTTACAATATTGAAAATTAGTTGCAATAAATGAGGCTATTTTGATTTTTTTACGATAATTTATGGAGTATTTCTGCAGGTTCTAGGGTAAAACCAAAATCGTAACTGGAAACACTGATTCCGTGGTAGTTCATGAGTATTTAAGAGATGGCGCTGATTTATTCTATGCTTAAACCGTCGAAACAGTTTTATTCGCACGGCCATATCTTGTCATTTATATCGATGGATAGACCACATTTGCAAAAGAACACCAATTCCCCCAAACGTGATTCGCGAATCTATTGAAATCAAAAACCATACTAATTTCAACGAAATAAAGACTGGATAATATCATCCGACTTAAGAATACCAATGCCAGACTTCAACATAAAAAAATAAAAATTAAAAATGATTTATTCCGTACACTCTTTTCCTAGATTAGAATTTATATTTAAAAGATGAATGTCACCTTAGTTAACTATGACCATGGGTGCTTTAATGCGTTCTATACAAGTAAATAACTAATTTAAATTAAATGCGATAAAATTAATTAAAGTACTTTTATTCAAAGTAAACTATCTAAATACGAAATTATATTTAAATCGTTGAAGCTTTTGCCAGTGATGTCATATCGATCTGAGATATGGTCCTTCACTGCTGGCCATATGAAAAGTTCAGGGTCGCTCAGCTAGCTGTAGATATGGGTGTGCTTGAAGTTTCTCCAAGTGATATAATCCATAATACTCGCAGTACGTATGCATCAGTAATGAATGAAATTTCAATTTAAAGATACTTAATTCTGTATTTATATTTCGTATATATTAAGATTTTTGTGATGATCCAACCATTTTCTCTACATTAGGTGGCACTATTATAGGGAGTTAATGATATTTGACATATAAACAAAATACATGGTGATGTTTGGGTTAGCTGCCATACAATGTGGTCTCATGAAGATTCCAATTTTGTATTTCTAGGTTATAGACCAGTGGAATTAAATGCGTCGGATGAACGAAGTGCTGAAGCGTTTAGAAATGCTTTAGTGAGTGCTACGTCAATGCGGTCGGTGCTGGACGCTGAGAAAAGGCCTAATTGTCTCATATTGGGTATGTTAATACTTGATAAATTATTTGTAACCAATCATACTAAATGCTCAGTGTTTGTAGCATAAGACAATACATCTTCTCATTAAATCTCGCTGATGCCGTAAAAGGCTACTAGGTAGGAGTGTAAGATGTTTGATCTGGGAATTAAACCACTGGAAACCATAAAATTAAATTAAATGTGTCAGGATCGTGCCAAATGGAAGTCCATAGTCTCTGCCTACCCCTCTGGGTGACAAGCGTGCTTATGTATGTATGTATAAATACCCAGTGTGGTAAAAAGATACTACGGACTTTCATTTGGCACCATTGAAGTAATATGTACTTACGTACTAGAACAGTTATTTCAAACAAAAAATGTGCGCTACTCTGTGTTCGCGCGGTTTGTTTTCTTATCATAGAATAAACATAGGTAGAATGATCAGTAGGTAATAAAAGATTGTACTGTTAAATAGGTAAATTATATCGAGAACAATTTTTTAAATTTTATTATTTAATATAATAAATTTCTTATTTAATATAATATTATATCACAATTACATTTTAATGATATTTTTATCTCAATATTTTAAAAGGTATCTATCTCAAATATAAAAAACATAATAAAAATGTATGTTTAACAAAACTTGTTAATATAACATTTAAATTACAAATATATTTTTTTTAAATTAGAATAAGAGCCGTTCATAAATACTGGGCACGCGGGAGTTAAAAATTGACGAATTTATTCCACTTTGACTTTGATGTGGAAACCTAAAAATAAAATATAAGAATAATTAGCAGATTTAAATATAAAAAAAATTGGCCTAATTATGATAACTCATATATGTTTCTCCAAAAAAATGTGTATAATAATATATTCGTCCTATATTTAAGTACCCACAGAAATGTCGCATCTGAACAAATTAATTTCATAATCTATATTACGTGACACAAGATGGCGTCTTAGGAATAATTTGTTTTGTTACTAATTTATAATACTTTTTTTATTGATTAAGTATCTTATTAACCAATGAAAAGTAATTCCTTGGTTTTTACTGACATTTCTTGAATTAATTGTGCAATATCTAAGTACACACGACGGCATATTTTTATCACGAGATTTTTTTTTTAAATCAACACAACACGTGTCAACTCTACAAGCGCCTAGCGACTGACTGATTAAAGTGCAGTGTATGCACCGCAGTTGAATGGAACATAGTAGCTGAATGCAGTGTCGCCTCTAGTACGTAGTACATATTAGCTCAATGTTTGGCACGACCCTGACACACCTCACTCGCTCCCTTCACATCCACATACCTACGCACACATACTCGTTAGTTAAGGTTAGTGTAAATTTGGTAAATCTTCAATATATTGTCAATTTGGTCTGCAATCAAGATATACACTGTGTATTTTTCATAGAATAAGAGTGGCAAACGAGCACACAGTCCACCACTACCACCATAGGTGGACTGCGTGCTCGCTTGTCACCCTTATTCTATATAAATAAGACGGGATGGTAAGTGGATGCTGTAGCCCATGGACATCCACATCCATCCTCGATACAGAATCAAAACGCAGATGCGTTGGCACCCCCGACGACTGAGATGGAATGCCTCGTAGTAGTCGTAAGTAAAAGGGTCTCCGGTTCACTACACTCACCATACGAAACACAGCAGCAGTGAGCTGCTATTTTACCCTGGTATTCTGTGAGAGTGTGATCCTTTCCCGGCTGAGCCGACGCACTCGTGCTACAGACATAATATAGCTGCAGCATGACTCTATCACGTAATGACAGGCAGTTTATTACACCCAAAGCATTCTTTACGTAGCTAGAAATAATTACTTAATAATAATAATCAAAATTACATTTGCGGTTTGACTTGAATTATGCTCTGATTGGCCTTACTCACAAAAACAATATTTTGAACTCCTTTAAACTCTGCCAGCGCCGCGACCAATGGAAACGCATGCGTTCACATGCACGGGCGTTGCTAATCGGTTACGTAAGACGTCATCCTATGTACGCTGTAGTGATGGCGTAATCTTATACTCCGTTCTAATGGGGCTACTTGACTCGCCACATTCACATTCAACTATCTTCCTATAACGGCTGTTTTAATAATATGATTGAACTATTTCGTTAAAACTTAATAAAAAGTTAAGGTCTTGTGGCTTGATTTTGAGACAAAAAAGTGACTTTTAGGTAAGTTTATATGCAAGTTTCTATCTATTTTTAGTATTTTCCGTGTTAAAGCCTATTAAACGTTATTTTATCGTAGTAAAAAAGGTGCATCGGCTTTTTTATTGGTGCTAATGACTATACTTTATTTTGGTTGACAACATAATGATTGGCATATATGGCAATCACTATACTTCCTGGCGTCAAGCTTTCTTTTGTCCAAAATCTATTCTTGGCACTAGTAATTACTGTATCTTATGGGTAGTGGCAATGATTATGACTTACCTCTTTCATATTTTAGATTGGTAAAAAAATTCGTTAGTTGAGAAAAAATTACTGTGGCAAAAACATTTAACATTACACACGCGGATTTGTAGTTCCCACTAAAGAAGTAAAGTAAAAAAAATCAGTTTAATCTAGTGAGGAAGGAAACCAGCTAGTAAAATGGATCATTGAATCTAGTAGGAAAAAATTCCACGACGTAAAGATGTCATCAAAAGTGTCGATAGAGACCAACCGTTTTATAGAGGGAGAAAAGAAAGTCTATGATGTGATGTGACATGATCCACCATGTCTAATCGAAGTCTTGCATCACTGTCCTTTGGAGTAGATAGTGAAAACGGAAAATGAACTACTAAATAACTAAATGAACTAGAAAATGTGACCAGACATTTAAAAGTGCCTAGAGAGAGGTGTATTTACTATGTTATGTGTGTTATTTTCTGATTAGAAAATAGTTGGATGAAGGCAGAGCTTTTTACACATTACAAATAAAACATTTTTTACTAGACCTACAATAAAGTATGTAACTTTTTCAGTTATAATTTTTGTAAATGGTCATAAGAGCTACACCATGTTTTGTACGTGGTAGAGCCGTGCCGCAGCTGTATAGCACGAATGGGTCGGATCGACCGGGGCGGGACCACGTTATCACAGAATACCAGCGTATAATTGAAGCTTAATACTGCTGTGTTTCGTATGGTGAGTTTAGGGAACCGGAGACCCTTTTTACTGGAAATGAGGCATTCTATCTTAGTCCTCAGGAGTGACAACGCATTTGCAATTTGATCCTTAATTGAGGATAAATGTTGATATCTATTAGCCACAGCATCCACTTACCATCAGGTGGGCTGTGTCCTCGTTTGTCACCCAACGTTATAAAAAAAAAAACAATCTTGAGCTAGCGCAACTTTGTCTCGGCATAATACTCATAGTCCTAAGCCTGAATGCAACACGACTATCGCAACCAGCTGATATCACTGCATTTTGACCCATCAAAGTTATGTGGCGTATAGCTGTCTTCGAATGACATATACATTGAATTCAGATAAATCCGCGTTATGAAATGTTTTTTAGACACGAGTTTTGCCCATTTAGTCCAGAAAAAGTGGATTACACAAAGTGTCTGATGCCCTCCAAATCACAGCAAGCCAGCCATTTTAGATTATCACCCTTTCGTGTTGAATCCTTATAATTAAATGATTCATCAGTCAAGCTGCAGAGATTTTTGTTGAGTATCAGAAATAAAACTAACCATTATGTTTTTAATCAACTAAGCAACAAATTTAGAATTTGTTGTAGATGAATGGGTGATTCTAATACAAAGATATTTTAAAGAAAGTCCTAAAAATATTTTTAGAGTTTTTGCCATTACCAAATATCTATCAAAAAGTAAAAAGCAGGTAAACAACAGCGTTATTTTGTGCTAACAAGTGAAGATTGTTAATTGGTTGAGCTAGAAAAACAATGAAAAAATTGGACAAAAACCAATAAAAGCAGAAACAGCGATATATAAAAACAAACTAACAAACAAAATAAGACTAACAAAGCCAAACACCCAAAAATGTTTTAGTAAAACCAGTCAACGCCACAAATTCGGAAAAAACCGAAAATTTTAAAGTTACTAGGTAACCATCCAACTACGCAATACGACGAACAGACTGCAGTTTTTGTCTAAAAAATAATCAAGAGAACAAAGATCTTACTAAAACCAACGAATTTATAGAGAAAACAGATTACCAATACATCATGGAAATATCAAAATAAAGGTCTATATCTACAAACTATCAGGAAGATACGAAAGGTTTAAAAAAAAAAACTTTTACTTTTATTAAAAAAGGCACTTCAGAAAATGTATCTGAAGAAAGAAAAAATATGATGGAACAACGAAACGAAAAATATTTGAAGATTTGTAAAAATAAATCTAATAACAATAGGGTGGAGCTTAGAAAGATCTGGATAACTTTTTAAACACGAACCCTCTTACATTTCGGCGTTATGCAAATTTAGGTATTTTACACACTACGCGAGCGATACTTTATTCCATATTATCTCTCTCTCTCACACACACACACACACTAGGATACTGTGAGTATAGCGACTAAACGATCTTGATCTTCCATAATACAAGTTTTCTAAGGATGGAGTTCAGTGGATGGAAAATTTTTGGTGTGTCATTTTTATGTTATCTAATTAATTTATTATAATCTATTTTGTTTTTTATATTTTGCATTATTTATGAACCTTAGTGTTGAAATAAGTACACATAAATATTTTAATTGTTATGCAGTAATCGATCGATAACCGATATTGGTTAATAATCGATTATATCAACTAACGGTAGCATAGTGGCATAAATAAATAAATAGTACGGTTGCAATCTGTTTTAATAAATAAAACAACCAAATGTAACCGAGATTTTTATATCGGTACTTATAGTCAAGTCGGTCTTCCGGAAAAGTTTTTGGCCAAAAGCCAGAAAGTTTTGTTGTGCGTTCACGGACTTGGAAACGGCTTATGACATATGGACTGTGTTATGGCAAACACTTAACTCATTTGGGTTGAGCGCTGGTTTGATACAGGCATTAAGGTCTCTTTATAGGGACTCTAGTGCTTGTGTCAGGATCAATGGTGTCTATTCGGACAGGGTTGTGTAGCTTCCCCGAGGCTGTTCAACCTATTTATGGACAGTTGTTTGGAAGCTTTGAAAGGATGGGAATGTGGGTTAAGAATGGGCGAGTTAACCGTCAAATGCCTTTTGTACGCTGATGATCAAGTCATATTTGCATCGTCAGCGGCCGAGTTGTAAATGATGGTTACATTAATGAACTGGCCATTAAAATAAAGGGGAATGAATGTGAACGCAAGTAAGTAGAAAGTAAAGTGGTTTTTGAAAGAGAAGAAAGTAAAACGTTATGTGAAATAAGAATAGAAGGGGAGTTGAATTGAATAAGTGGATGAGTTCGTGATTTCATAATGCTGTGTTAATACTACCCTACTTTGATATATGGTATGGTATTGAAAGTTGAGTGTGGCAGAAGAAGTATGATAGTAAAAGAAATGCTGTAGAAATGTGGACTTTAAGGAGTATGCTAGGGCTGAATCTGAATGACAGGGAGGGAATTGAGAAAAATGTGGTGTGCAAGATGATATTGTGACCAGGATTAAGAAAGGAATGCTTCGGTGGTTTGGTCATGTAGAAAGGATGAGCGAGGAAAGAGCGATAAAGCGAATTTTAATTACAGATGTGAACGGCGGAGTTGGGAAGGGACGCCCTAGACGAAGATATATCGACCAAATTGGCGATATAATGAAAATGGGCTAGATTAGAAGTACCCTTAACCGACGTGTGTATGTGTAGATATATGGATGTAAAGGAGGCGAGAGATGTGTGTCAGGATTGTGCCAATTTTTTATTTTTATTTATTCAACAAAGTAACAGTTTTAATTACAAAATCAATTTCTTCGTGCCATTAAACATCTATTGTTTGTCTTGGCACTGCACAGTTTGCTCTTAATTATACATTAATTTACTTAAGCTTATTATTTAAATGACATTGGAATTAACTTTTACTTAAACTAAATATAAAGTACTATGAAATATTTGTGCTACAAATTATTAGAATAAAAAATAAAAAAAAATTTAGTATAAAAAATTTATATAAAATCTATAATATGTATCTCTTAAACTAGAAGGTAGTTTTTGGTATTGTTTACCAGGAGTAGTGAAGTAAAAACGTGATTGTTGTCTTCAGTTGTTGGCTTATCCGATATACTGTACAATCTTATTTATGAGCGTACACACGGAGTGTATTTTTAAGGAATAATTTTTTTTCATGTATTTTATATTGTAACACGTTTTGTTTATTTGTCCAATTTAACAATTATTGGCATAGATAGATATAGCTCGTTATGATTCTCATTGGAATAATATATATATAGATACTTTTTTGAATTCTTATTATGCGAAAAAATGTTTAAGTTTTGTTTTCAAGTTTTGTGCGGTTAGCTGGCTTCTTATCTCCGTAGGTATAGAATTTAATATGTGTGGTATTAGAAATTTACGTGTTCTCTTACCGTAGTAATTATTAGTTCTAATTGGTGAATAAGGTGTTTTATTTCTAGTGCTATAAATGCGTTCCCTTGGGGTTGGGTACATCGAGTATTCATAACATTCTTTTAAAATCATATATTTCACCTTTTTATGTGTGGGTAAAACTTTGCAGTACGTGAAAAGGTATGAGTAATCATTTCGATATTTGTCCTTAATGTGTTGAGGCAATATAGATTTTAAAATTCTTATTTGTAAGCTGTAAATTTTATCTAGGTAAGTGCGGAAAGTTCGTCCATAACTACTAAGACCACACGATACTATTGATTCCACTAGAGCATTATATAGGCTTAGAAGAATTTTAAATGGAACTTTATTACGAATAATATAAAATTTCGCTAGGATTGCCCTTAATTTACTACACACGTAATCAATATGATTCTTCCAGTTTATCCTATTATCTATAATCAGTCCTAAGTATGTGTGATACTTAACAAGTGGGATTTTTTCGCAGGAACAAGTTATTATATTGTGCAGACAAAGATGATTATGAGCAATAATGCTTACTGGCATAATATTCTTGATATGACTAGAATGAATGTGTAGTACCTTAGTTTTTTTGTATATTTATTACAAGTCCTAGATCGTGAGCCCACATAGAGAGGCATGAAAAATCATCTTGTAATTTTTGCATGGCGATATCCAGATTTTTATCTTCTGACAGAAGGCACGTATCATCTGCATATTGGTATAAACTACATTTTTTAATGATATTTTCTAATTCATTTACGTATGTTAAGTAATGGAGTGGCCCTATAACTGAGCCTTGTGCCGTACCTGTAGTCATAGGCATTTTAATACTTAAATTATTTTCTATCTTTACTTGGAAATATCGATTGCTAACATAATCTTTACACCATCTTAAGAAACGTCCTCTAACACCAGAGTTTTCGAGTTTTTTTTTATAAGAATGTTATGTTTCAAGGTATCGAAGGCTTTACTGAAATCGATGAATGCAATTAATACATGTTTTTTCTCATCTAAGCATTTGTTTACTTCGTCTGTAAAGTTTGACAGTAACTGTGTAGTAGATTTCTTAGGCTGAAATCCGTATTGAGATGCCGAAATAATTTTATGTTTTTGGTAAAAGTAGTGAAGCTGGTTGGAAATGAATTTTTCTATAATTTTGTCAATTGTTGGAAGTATAGTAATAGGCCTGTAATTACTGTAATCGTTATGACGTCCACTTTTGTAAATAGGCCGTACCAAACCTAGCTTTAGATCTGTAGGATAAATACCTGTTTCTATATTACTATTAATTAACTTGACAATTACTTTAGAAATTTTTTCTGATATGACTTTTATGTCAATTGTACGAATTCCATCAGCATCTGGTGCCTTTTTTGTGTTAAGTGTTTTTATTATATTTTTTATTTGCTTTGTGTTAGCTTTTTGAAACCGTATAGACTTATCTACTGGATTTGTGTACAAATCATCTGATAGCATTTTAATGGTACATTTTGGTATTATATTTTTTAAGTTTCTATCGAACTCAGTAGCAAAATTATCAGCAATCGTTTTACTATTTTGACTTTTGAAGTTAAATGCTTTATTTAACGATTCATCTAGTCTTTCGGTAAATTTGCCGAATTTGTTTACAATTTTCCAAGTATATCTTGGATTAGACATATAAATGGAAGTCCGCAGTCTCTGCTTACCCCTTTGGGTGACAGGCGTGAGTTTTTACGAGTGTGAAGCTCAAGCTCGTAACAGTATTATGTTATCACGTAGATGCTCTTCTTGTTCTTACATCTCCTATTACAGTTTCACTGTTTCCCTCTGTCGCCTCATATGACACACACAATATGATATCGGGTAATGTAGTTTTACTTCTCGTTTCTTTAAAAAACTATCTTGATTCGGAATAATTTTATAATGTTCTAATTTCAGACGAGATTGACGGCGCCCCTGTTCAAACGGTCGAACTGCTAGTGAAATGGTGCACGACCACACTTACGGAAGGCAATAAGAAAAAGAGCAAGTCGCAGCCGCTCAGGCGTCCAGTAATTGCTATATGTAATGATTTGTATGCAACTTCGTTACGACCTTTAAGGTGTGTATATAATTCTGCATTTGTCTGTAAAAAGCTTCTACGTAGTTGCGGGATAAAAACATTCTGAAAAAATCTATAAGCTTTGGGACATCTATTCATAATTGACTAAGTAATCAACTTTTCACATCTTTATTTGCCGATTAGAAAACTTATTTGCAAGTGACTTAAGATTCATATTTTCAAGTTTGTCACAATTTATAAGGTATAGCCACTTGTTACGGCCTAAAGTTACCCTGACAAAGGTCGTTGAACTCGGGCCCATCAGGAGTCCAACTCGACGAGTACGAGGGCGGCACTGAAAATTTCGGGAATCAAGGAAGTGACACAACATTACTATTTAAAAATGTATTTATTGCTTTTCGAAGTATTCTCCGCGAAATTTGACACATTTTTTCATACGATGGAACCAATCATTGAAGCAACCATTACATTCGGAAGTTGGGGTATCCAAAATGGCCGTTTTGTAGGCGTCCACAGCTTCTTCAGGTGATGAAAATCTCCGTCCACGCAATTTATTCTTTATTTTAGGGAAAGTATAAAAATCATTAGGGCTTAGGTCGGGGCTATACGGCGGATGGTCTAATAATTCTATGTTTTCTTGCTCCAAAAACTCTTTTGTTCTGTGTGCGGTGTGAGAACTCGCATTGTCGTGATGGAGGATGATGCGGCGGTTGCAGTTCTCTTTACGGAGTTCAAAAACGACCTGTGGCAAACAAATGCTAGCATACCATTCTGCATTAACCGTTCTTTGTCCCTCAAGAGGAATAGTCGTAACATGGCCGATTTTGGAGACAAACGTGGCCACCATTTTTTTGCAACACTCCGTGAACGAACAATTTTTGTTGGCTTTAACTCGATGTCGATCTTTCTCAATCAGCTTACGCACAGCATCAACGTTTTCTTGGGTGACTGCAGTTTTTTGGACGACCTTGACGGGGATCATCACTGAGCTTGACACGTCCGCGTTGAAATTGAGCAAACCAGCGATAAATTGTGGTTTTGGGTATGGGGCTTCATCACCAAATGCAGAAATCATCCGGTCAACACACTGTTTTTGTGTTAAACCACTTCGAAAGTCATAATAAATCATCGCTCTTGAATTTTCTCGAGTCAATTCCATTTTCTCAACGACTGAACAAGTTTGACAAAACCTTGTGACAAGACCGAGAATCTTTTTTTAAATAAATAAATGGTATTTGATTTTTAAAACCAAGGAGTTTTCAATTAAAAAGATTTTAATGTAACAGGAATAGTGGAAATATTCAATTCCCGATACTTTTAGTGCAGCCTAGTAACAGAAGGTCGAGCCCAAAATATATGGATAAATAAATTAGAAAGGTTAGTTACGCAACACAAAACTTACCTAATTCCCGAAGTAGGGTTAACCACAGGCATAGTCAGGTGAAGGTGATGTGCGTGTAAGTGGTGTGCAGGAATGTGTTCAATATGTAATCTGACAGCCCCGCTGATCTTGGACTGCAGATCCCAAGGCGCTGCCTCTCTCCAAATGTGGGATCCGCCCAGGGGGCGTTCACCGAATGAAAGCGTCTGCTTCTATTTTCACTATATTAGTTTATCACTTTATTGTACATTTAATTAACTTCAAGTTCAACCAAAACAAGTTAATCGACGTTAAACTGAGACACGCGGTACAAGTCAAGGACGGTTGGTCAAAGTTCAATGTCCCAGGCTCACGTAGCACAAAACTATAACCACGAGGAGAACGCAGTCTCTTCTAGAGGCCCAACGCTCAGCGTTCTCCCGACAAAGTAAAAGTCTTATGACGCTATCAACCGACGCACTAATAACTCGTTCAAAACCGACTAAATTCGAGGCGGTCTAGGTTATATTATAATATTCAATAGTAAAGTCAAAATGGCGCGCACACGTAACACAAGTCTTGGCATTCGAATCAACACCTGCCGCGTACAACCGAATGAATCACAAAACATACCTCAACGCATCATCGACCCGGGCTTCGCGCAAACAAACTAAAGAAATAAGCTTAGTTATCAAGTTAAGTACTAATATAAGATAACATAAGTAGGCCGTCCTTTCGATGCACAATTATATAATTCTCGCGACCTCTAGCTCGACCCGGGAACGCTGGCGTTCAACTCGTGCGGTCCCACCGCTCAAGGCTTCCGCCGACCGCCGTCCGGCTTCGCTGCTGACTGCGACTGAGCTGCGCGTACTATTCAGCTAGCCTCCGCCTCTCCCGCTCCCGCTCGAGACAATCAGGCGCGAACACCACTTGTTTCTTTGGTCTTCGTTGGTCGGAAACTTATGCAACTTAGCGTCTTCTCTTTTTTATTGCACAATTAGAATGTAACACTTAAAATACATTTAAAAAGTAAAAATTAAATATAAAATTCACTAAAGCTAAAGAAAACGTCCTGTCGAAATAAATAATAAAATAACCTATAGTACCAAACTACATGATATTGACAAATACTGTCGTAGTAACATGAAAAAACATGACGAGAGAAACATCATCGAGTCATGTAATGAATTTCTCACTGCATTTCAGACGGTCAGATTATTGCCGAAGATTACCAACCGTGGCGCAGTAATAGTTTTTAGGAACAAAATGATTACGAGAGGAGTGGGATGGTGGGCGTTAACTAAAACTAGAGATGCGAGTACGCATATTGCGCGTTTACAATTACCACAGATGAAAAAATGTTATGTACAATCGATTATCGTTATTATCGATTATGATTCAATTTTATTTTATTTTTACTGAGGTGAAAACTTTTTTAGAATCGTTTTGATTTGAAACTTGATGAAACGAGAAAGCGACACTCATAAGTGGAAATTATTTTATATTCTATGGGATTTAGCCCGCGAGAGAATGAGACAGAATACATTATATAGTTTCCTATTATCCCGGTCTCCGCTTTGTGGAGTGTTAAAATAAATAACTACATAAATACAAAATTAATACGTTCATATATGTCGCAGCGCCTCTGTGGGTAGTCGGAATTATTGTAAACAACACGTGCACCGCACACCTGCGCATTGCACCTGTAGTGGCGCTCGTGTAGCTACTTGTCTCGATTGTATAAAACGGACGAAGCGGCCGCCGTTAAGGCAGTCATGGCTCTGGCATGGCACGGGTCTATTCTGTCGTAGGGCCGCTAACTCGCCCTATTATGTCCGTAATGCCGACCTACATCGAGACTTAGAGCTCCCAACAATCCAGCAGTTCCTTAAATCACTCTCTGAGAGATTTTTCAAAGCCTCAGAGTCCCACCCAAATCATCTCATTCGTGAGACAGCTGCCTATGCAGCCCCTATCCACACTCGCTATAGTGTGCGCAGACCGAGAAACTCTCTCTCGGACCCCCCCCAACAAGCTTTCGGCTGACCTGAACTGCCTCCTGGCGGCTCGGGCTGAGCCTACATAACACATCCCTTAATATGCCTTAGTAAGGCACTCTTCTAAGCGGCTTTTCACCGCTTGCGCCCTCCTTTCTGCCTAGGAGGGTCGCGTTCGTATACGGCTTAGAGATCTCTAGTCAGATCGTTAAGCCAATTCCTAAAAGGTTGAGTTTAGTGGGTAAAAGTCTCCACATAACCACGCAGCCGGCTGCGTGGTATGCTATGAGCATTCTCAACCTCCCTCCCCCGCTTTCCGGAGGGTTGCCCATATTTGCTTCGGGCGCAAAAAAAAAGCATGGCACGGTTCACTTGTTGTATCCCGCTACAACTATCCTAGACTATTCGGATAATTAATTCGTGGAAACGAATTAATTATTATTATCAGCTGTTAAATTAGTCTCAGTACAATTTATAGTTGATTACCTGTGATCCGTGTATTATTTATTTATTTCACAATTTATGTACACACAAGTAAGGGAGAGGACACATCATGATAAAAAGTTTGTACAAAGGCTCTACTTATCTCACAATGAAATTTCTTCCAGTAGGCCAGTTTCAAACACATATGATTAATAAATGATTATAATTGTATTTTGTAATGTGTATTTTGTAAATGTAAATTAATTCTATTTAACTACCTTCCTACATATATATTTCAACATGTTTGTCATCAATAATTTTTTGTATATAATTTTTAATGTAATAATTTGTAGGCGCATCTATAAAATGCCGGTTAGATCTAGTGACTATTTGAAATTGTGGGTATATCGAGAAACCCTCCCACTCGTTTGTGCAGTATAAAGTTCAGTGTAGGGGCAGAGGGCGAGAGTTTCCGCTTGTGTCGTTTCACGAGTGAAGTCAGTCTGCGCGTGCTAAGATAGTCGTTGTTCTGTCCATTGTGGAGATTCTTCTGGTGCAGGCAAGAAGCATGGTGTTGCTGAGAGGTTGTGATGTGTTACGTTGAGATGGGTAAGGTATGCTGTTGGTTTGCATAATTTGGTGTTGATATAAAGATATTTTAATAATAATAATAATATAGGCGTAGGGAATTGACGACCCCATCGCCCGCTGACGTAACAGTTAAGTGACAAAACTGCTACGTCAACGCAGTCAGTCAGCGCCTTGCGAGAGGTGTGAGCGCCGTGCCTCGGCAGAATTTAAGGTGCAGAGGCCCGTTTGTGCTTATGGCTACACACGAAACGGTGCCGGGCCTGGGCGTCTCCCGTTAATGGACGCCCAAATAATGGATGATGGATAAGAAGATAGTGCGCAAAGGGCCGCTGCCTGGGGGTCGCCGGGGCGTGTCTGGAGCTGGCGCTGGACGCGGCAGCATGCGGGTCGCCAGCCGAGCGCGAGGAGCTGCACGGTCACCTAGCAGCCCTCCGCATCCATCATCCCCACCAGAAGGCTTGGTGTCGGCTGGGTCTTCTCGCACTCAGCAAGCGGCACCCGCCGCTGGTGGAGCACGTCGCATGCGTTGGTCACAAGCAATGAATGCAAACGCATTGCGGGCGTACTTTAGGGCAAAAGGGGAAGAAACTGGATGTTTGGCGTATCGGGCTAGGATGCATCGTCTTTTTGCTGAGCTGGAGCCATCTTTAACCGTCACAGAGCAAAACCTGGCAGACCGAGTTCGGTATATCTTGCGCCAAATATATTTGATGTCGCCGAACTCGAACGGCTACGACGTGAGGCTGTTCCCTCGTCGGATGAGAATGCTACGGCTGAGGATGCGGCGCCACAAATGGTAGAGCAACCCGCAAACGTGGATGCCGCCGTGAAAACCCCAGTTGTGGTTGATTCAAACGATGATGGAACAGTCGCCCAGGAACTGGAATTAGAGCATATGAGGAGTACATTGGAAGAGGCGATTGTGGAAACGCGCAGTACGCCTCTCGAAAATCGACCGCGACTTCCCCGCATAGCCCTAAGCAAGCGGAATCGGGCTGTCGTGAGGGCTCTGAACCCAATGCTGGTGACCTATTTGGAAGCCAGCCGGGACCTTTGCGAGACGGACTCAATTCTTTTTGGCGCCGCGCTGGCAACCTGCCGTATCATAGGCGCCAAGGTTTCCACGGCTGGACGCGCTACTGGCCATAGTAGCGCTATCCCAGCATGGAGAAGAAGAATTGAGGAACGTATCGCAAAGGCTAGAGCTCTCATCGGCAGACTGATATGCTTCAGATCAGGCAACAACAGGCCAAGAATTGTGCGCACCGTCAGGATGGCGTTTGCTGGGACAAATGTCAGTTTGTCCCAGCCGGATATAACGCAAAAACTGACGGAGCGCATAGTTGATCTGAAGCAGAGAATCGCTGCTTGGGGAAAGCGGATTCGGCGATATACCGAGAGGTCGACACGGTTCAACCAGAATCGTCTCTTTCAGAGTGATCAGAAGAGGCTCTATGAATCATTGGAGCGACCAATGGTAAGTGGAACGGGTCCAGCACCGAATCAGGCCGACACTGTAGCATTCTGGCGCGGCCTGTGGTCAGAGCCCGTAAACCACAGCGAGGGCCCTTGGACGGAAGTTGTGGCGACTCAGTGTGCGGGTATTACGCCCATGGACCCCGTCATCATAACGCCGGATGACGTAGCTGAGGCGGTCCGTAGGGCCCCGAACTGGAAAAGTCCGGGGCTTGACGGGGTGCATCACTACTGGCTGAAGGGGTTCATGGTGTGTCAGTCTGTGCTTGCCCGACAGTTTCAAGAGGCTCTCAACCAGAAGTCGCTCCCAAGCCTCTTCACTACTGGGATCACTCATTTGGTTCATAAAGACCAGGGTACCACAGACCCGAGCAAATACCGCCCCATCACGTGTCTACCGAACATATACAAGACACTAACATCCATTTTGAGCGCGAGAATCACTTGTCACCTGGACTCAAATCAGGTGATGTCGCGCGCTCAAAATGGATGTCGGGGCGGTGGTCGTGGAACCAAGGAACCACTCCTCATTGACGCGGTCATTGGCAAAGTGGTGAAACGCAACCGTCGGAACTTCTCCGCCGCCTGGATAGACTACAGAAAGGCATTCGACTCGGTGCCCCATACATGGCTAAAGAGAGTCCTCGAGCTGTACAAGATAGACTGTACAGTTAGAGACTTCCTCGAGCAGTGTATGGGGCAGTGGAGTACGATCCTTTGTCATCTGGGCGAGCGGATGATGGCTGCGGAGAACCACATAAGGATAAGAAGGGGTATCTTCCAGGGCGATTGTCTGAGTCCAATCTGGTTCTGCCTCTCTCTGAACCCTCTCAGTACCTTACTGGAGGGCTCCGGGAGGGGATTTCAGCTACGGAAAGGAGGGACAAAAGTGACCCACCTTTTCTATATGGATGACCTCAAGTTATTCGCCTCCAGTCGCTCCCATCTTATGGAATTGCTAAACATCACTTGTGAATTTAGCAATTCCATTGGAATGGAGCTTGGGACGGATAAGTGTGCGGTCCTCCATGTTGAAAGGGGAAGGGTTGCTAACTCTGAGGGCGTAGACTTATCTATGCCCGTCAACTTAAGGACCCTTTCCGAGGCTGAAACATACCGATACCTGGGTATGTCACAATACATGATACGATGAGACTGGTATGAAACAGTCAGTTTGCGACGTGTTTTATGCACGCTTGACCAAAGTGCTTAACAGCCTTTTGTCCGGTGTGAATAAGGCACACGCATATAACGGCTGGGTCATGCCTGTCCTCATGTATACCTTTGGCATACTCAGGTGGACTCAGACTGAACTTAACGCCCTGGATAGAAAAGTCCGCACTACCATGACGTCCCATAGGATGCATCATCCGAGATCGTCGGTAATGAGGCTGTACTTGTCGCGGAAGCATGGTGGTCGTGGCTTCTTGAGCGCGCTCACCATGCATAATCGCGAAGTGTGCAGCCTCCGTGATTACTTCCTGGCGAGATCGGATAATCCATTCTATAAGGACGTCATTTCTTGTGATAAAGGGCTTACCCCTCTATCCTTAGCCAACGAGCAATGGCAAGACCCGGCAGTGCAGAGCATTTCCGACCGGGAGACCGTATGGAAGGAGAAGGAGCTCCACGGGAGGTTCTACAAGGCTCTACATGAGCCTTTCGTAGACACAGTAGCCTCCCTCCACTGGCTACGCTTTGGTGATCTCTTCGGGGGAAACCGAGGGTTTTGTCTGTGCAATACAGGATCAGGTTATTAAGACCAACAACTATCGGAGATACATCCTAAAGGACGGCACCATCGACATCTGTCGAGCTTGTCGCCATCCCGGTGAGTCACTTAGGCATGTCATCTCCGGTTGTTCGGCGCTTTCTAACTCTGAGTACTTGCACAGGCACAACCTAGTAGCCAGAATTCTACACCAGGAGCTCGCTCTGAAATACGGTCTCGTGGATAGGAAATTGCCGTATTACAAGTACTTGCCGGAAGCCGTGCTCGAAAATGATCGCGCCAGGCTCTATTGGGACCGGGCCATCATCACAGACAGGACTATTCTTGCGAATAAGCCTGATATTGTGCTGATGGACCGGGCACAGTCAAGGATATTTTTGGTCGACATTACCATTCCGTATGACGAGAACCTCGTGAAAGCCGAAACAGACAAGCAAACAAAATATCTGGACCTGGCTCACGAGGTGACCGACATGTGGGGTGGTCTGCCGACAGAAATTATTCCTGTAGTCGTCTCTGCAAACGGGCTAATCCCAGTCAGCCTCTCGGGTCATCTGAGGCGGCTAGGACTACGTGGCGGACCGCTCCGGGCTCAAATGCAGAAGCGTGCGCCTCGCTCCCGCCCGCATCGTCCGCCGGTTTCTTTCCCTTTCCCCCTAACCCTCGGCCGTTTGGTCTCCCCTGCCGAGGGCCTCCATCTGGTTGGGCTTTTATTTATTTATGTACTTTTATATTTATTTTATGTTATTGATATTTATGTATATTTATCTTTTCATTTTCATTTATAATTATATATTTATAGAACCCAACCAGATGAGAAAACTATATAGATACCCCATAATAATAATAATAATTTTCATTAACCGATTTTAACAAAACAAACTGTTTCCGATGTTAGGAGCGAATACAAAGTGTCATATCTCTATCGTCTAGCGTCTGTTAATACGGAAAAGCCAACTTCAGTTCGGCCAAGATAGAATGCGCGGTCAATGTAATATCTAAGATAACCCATGTCTATTACAAAGTTTGGCTTGCAATACCTATCACCTAATGATGTTTTGTTTTGTATAAACCATAGTTAAACATAAGTCATTATTACATCAAAATTATTTTCATAGAAGTGTAGTCTAGTTTTTGTAAACAATGTATTCGGGTCTCTTTGTGCAAGTTTTAACCAGGTATTTCTCATATTTAAATCAGTTGGCACTTGAATCCATAACTTCTGTGGTGTTTTTATGTCCATGTTTTTGCATTCAGGCACAACACACAAGTTGTGTTAAAGCAAAAAGATGAAAATCCAAAAATATTTTATTTCCTTTGCAAAATTGGCAAAATCCTTTAAAACGATAAATTACTTATAATTTTATGGCGCTATTCCGTTTCAAAAAAATATATGAAAATTATAGTGGTACATTTATTAATCTAGGATTCATTTGATACACTATTTGAGAAGGGATATAATATCCCTATTGTTTTTTTTGCACAGATTTCACCTTTTAAAAAATGATAGACTGAATCGAACTCGTCAGATAGAATGTATCGGAAAAAATGTTATGGCTATGGCATCCTCTCTCCAATTAAATTTTAATATTGAAATTTGAAAATTAAATAAATTAATGTTTTTTTTTAGTTATAATAATATCATACTATTTGAACTTGCCCTTAACTTTTTTGGTAATTAGAACTATATCTTTATTTAAGAATATAAAGTACACCAACATTAAAGGAGTGTGATGGAAAGCAGTTGGTAGTTTAAAAGCTATTTTAAACAGTTAAAATTAGCAGAGCATATTAACATTGGTAGTTTTTTAAATAATGTCCTCCAGAACGAATTTCGGCCACGGCGGCCTGCCTTAACGGAGGCTAGCCATCGGCGCAGGACAGGATTATAGTGCCCAAGTGTATGCGCAAGCACAGGTGCACTCTCTATTCCCTCACTCGCATAATCCGTTGGGACAGTAAAAAAATAGTGCGGCAGGACCAACGGCTTTACGTGCTTATTGAGGCACGGGGGTGAGACACCGCCAAATTTCTGACTCCGGGCAGCGGCGCCAAATTTCTGACGAAAAAACTCAATAATTAATTTTTTGGCCCGACCCGGGATTCGACCCCAGGACCTCATGATCAGCAGTCGCACTACTACAACCACTAGACCAACGAGGCAGTCAGTTTTTTAAAGAAAGATAAGTAAAAATAATGTGTGTTTCCAGGCCGGTAGCACTGATCGTGACGGTTGGGTGCGTGACGGTGGCGCGGCTGGCGTCCCGACTGGTGGCGGTGGCGAGCTGCGAGCGATTGCGGGTGGAGCCGCACGTGCTGAGCGCGCTGGCCGCCCGCGCCTGCGGGGACATACGTATGGCGCTCCACGTACTCAGCTTTCTGAGATCCAAGTCTCAGGTCCGAACACCTCTGATATTCTTCTTTATTTATTTTATAGAAGAGTGGGCAGACGAGCACACAGTCCACCTGATTGTAAGTGGTTGCTGTGGCCCATAAACATCTACATCTATCCTCGATTACGAATCAAAATGCAGATGCGTTGTCACCCCTGAGGACTAAGATGGAAAGCCTAATTTCCAGTAAAAAGGGTCTCCGGTTTTCTACACTCACCATATGAAATACAGAAGCATTAAGCTACAATTTCACGTTGGTATTCTGTGAGAGCGTGCTTATGGCCGTACACGATACGGTGCCGGGCCTGGGCGTCTCCCGTTAATGGACGCCCAAATCATGGATGATGGAAAAAAGATAGTGCGCAAAGGGCCGCTGCCTGGAGGTCGCCAGGGCGCGTCTGGAGCTGGCGCTGGACGCGACAGCATGCGGGCCGCCAGCCGAGCGCGGGGTGCTGCAAGACCACCTAGCAGCCCCCTGCATCCATCATCCCCACCAGAATGCTTGGTGTCTTCTCGGACTCGGCAAGCGGCACCCGCCGCTGGTGGAGCACGTCGCATGCGTCGGTCACAATTAATGATCGCAAACGCACTGCGGGCGTACTTTAGGGCAAAAGGGGAAGAAACTGGATGTTTGGTCGAGCCAACCCATTCGTGCTACAACTATACATCTAATATAACTGCAGCATGGCTCTACCACGTAAAAACCTCACCACTAATATTCTTCTTTATTTATTTTATAGAAGAGTGGGCAAACGCGCATGCGGCTCATCTGATGGTAAGTGACTACAACTGCCAGTGAACAACTGCAACCCCAGTGGAATTGCAGGTACGTTGAGGCGCGTTAAAGTCCTTTATTGGGCATGTGTCGCTCTCAAGTTATGGTTGGCCTTAATCGTCAAGCTTGTCCGGCGGATTCGATCGCAGCGCCAGATGTCTAAGTATTACTGTGTTATTACGTCTAGCGTATATATAGATAGGATTATAACGTCATCTATCGGAAGCCATAACATTTTTCTGGCAATTCCAATAGTCACCTCTTACTAGACTTAAGGGACGAAAAAGGGTGATGGTTCTCTTGCGTCGCCAAATCTCGAAAAACATTGAGTAAAAAAAAATGTTTTTTTTTTTTACGATGGAAACTAATATATCATTCTAATTGTTGTGTATTTATTACATTTTTTAAATAGTTATCAACTAAATCCAAATCTTTAACATAATATATCCATAGCTGAGTGTTAAGGAAACATGGGTGCGTTATCTAGGACGTAGTTACAATGAACATTTTATATTACTTGATCTATTCCTTTCTTATACATTGCTAATAATTGTGGCGGCATGCATATTATCCACGATTGCCGACTTATTTGAGCCGTCGACAAGCGAACTCTTAAAATATAAAAGATGTTAAAAATTAGTTATTGTTTTACTACGCAAATCTTAACTAATTAATTTTTAACATCTTTAATATAATAGATTTCCGCAAAGTAACACTTGATGCTATTAATAAACTCTTAAAATAATCGTAAATCCGTTTATTTTATTAAAAAAAAACTCTTTCAGACAGATCGATGTAAATCAAAAGCAATAACAACTTCAGGTAAATAAAATAGCGATTGCCATGACATAAGTGAAACGATTTACCGCGAATTCGGTGGTGAAGAGACACATTCGTGGAGAAATCTGCACATGTGAAGAATGAAATATTTCGAGGACATGTTAAGTCCGCCAACACGCATTAGATTGCATCATAGCAAATAGTTTCATAACAATAATTAGAGAAGTTATGTCGCCGTTAGGGTCGTCTGTAGACTATAACTCTCCTTTCATTTGTATTGACTGCTTACAGCTGACAATTCAAGATATAGAAAATGTGGCCATTGGTACAAAAGACACCAGTAAAAGTATGATGCAGGCATTGCAAGCTATATTCACGCTTGAGGACGGAAAATCTAATGATATTTTGAGAACTATCCAAGCTGCTGGTGAATATGACAGGTGGGTAGTTATTATTTGATTTGTAGGCAAATTATATCGATATTTATTTAATACTAAAATATTTATGCGACAGTTATTTGAAAAATTATTGTAATCTGTGTAAGATGACGAAATATTTTTTTTTATATAGAGAATAAAGGTGACAAACGAGCACACAGTCCACCTGATTGTAAGTTGATGTTGTGGCCCATAAATATCTGGCCCAGTGACAGTAGGTTTTACAGAATACTGTGATATTTATGATCTTCATCTAAATGTCCACTGCTGGACAAGAACCTCTTCGACTGTAGGGAGGGTTTGTCTTAATTGTCTAGCTTGGCAAGCAGATTGGCAATACAATATGTATATCATGTCTCACACTTCAGGCATTGCTGCATTTTGCCAGTCTAAGTAATTTGTTCTGTAAGTTAGTTAAGTTAGTCTTCTTATTATTAGTACCCGGATGACCGAGCTTTGCTCGGTTTTTCTAAAATTACATTTAAATACAAATTACATACTGATGAATAATATTCTTTTGATATTATTGACATAATAGAAAAAACTTTCGCCCCCGTCACTACATCAGATTTGATAGACCGCAGATCCTCGATAAAGAACACCGATTCCTTCCAAGGATGATTCGCGAGGCTATTGAAATCAAAAAACATCCTAATTTCAATAGAGAAGATGGCTGGGTGCTACCATCTGCTTGGGATCCTATAATAAATAATATTAAATCCCAACCCAAGCATACAACTGCAAGGCTTCAAGATACCATAAGTTCATACTGCATAGATCGGAACAAAAGTTAAATTTTAATCTATGGTAACCGCGGTTAACTATGACATATAGACGTTAAACATCTCAGTTCTGCCCGTGACCATGAGTGCTGTAAAGCGTTCGAAACGTCGGGATTATTTCAATGTGTAGTGTTCGCGTAAATATAAGAAATCATGGTGCAAGCTCCGATTACAAGCCTATTAATGCTGGTGTTCCACAAGGCTGCGTGCTATCGCCAACGCCGTTTCTTCTGCATATCATTGATATATTGCAAACCCGTAACATTCATTGCTATGTACATGACAGCACTCGTGATGCTCTGTACACTGGCCGTGCCATTATTTCTCGGCAAAATGTCGCCGAGTACCGGGACAAACTTGTGTCTGAAGTCGAGTCTTTGCTGAACAGAGTCTCGGATTGGGGGTGACTAAATCTAGTCCAGTTTAACCCCCCAGAAGACACAAGTTTGCGAGTTAACCGCAAAAAGAACCCCTTTGTCGTATCTCCTCAGATTCAAGGCACTCCCCTTGTTGCCTCAGCTAGTATCGAAATCCTCGGCGTCGACATATCGAATGACATGCAGTTTCGTGGTCACTTGGAAGAGAAGGCCAAATTGGCCTCTAAAAAGCTTGGCGTGCTCGGCAGAGCGGGGCAGTATTTCATGCCGGCGCACCGCCTGCAACTTTACAAGGCGCAGGTTCGGCCGCACATGGAATACTATTCCCATCTCTGGGCTGGGGCTCCCTAGTACCAGCTCCTTCCACTTGACCGCATCCAGCGCAGAGCGGCTCGAATCGTCGACGACCGAGTGCTTTCCGATCGGCTCAATTCACTGGCGCTGCGAAGAGATGTTGCATCTCTTTGCATTTTCTTTCGCATATACCACGGGGAGTGCTCTGAGGAATTGTTCGAATTAATCCCAGCCGCCAAATTTCGTGAACGCACTACGCGGAAAACGTCCCGATACCATCCACACCATCTGGATGCTTGGCGGTCCACGACTGTACGTTTCACAAGGAGTTTTATTCCGCGTACGACCTCTCTGTGGAATAGTTTACCACCGGCGATATTTCCGGACCGATACGACCTAGGGACCTTCAAGAAAAAAGCTTACTCCTTTCTAAAAGGCCGTCAACCCACCTGCAATTCCCGTGGTGTTGCGGTTGATCATGGGCGGCGGTAGTCACTTAACATCAGGTGAGCCGCATGCTCGTTTGCCCCCTATTCCATAAAAAAATCTCTAAAAAAAAATTGAACACCACAAAATCGATAAAAAATTAGTTTAGAGAGAGCAATATTTATGAAGTAGGTACAATAAGATAACCTTAACGCTAAAAAGCGATCACTTCCAGACGTTATTACGCCTTCGATCAGAAGCCGAAAGTTTTTGTGGATATTGCCGCTAGTCTCATTTTAGTACACCCACGGGGTAAACTGCGGTGACTATTTTTCCTAAGATGCCATCACGCGTCCATGATATGTGGCTATATACATTGAATATGTTTACAGACTTATAGAGGGCATCTTCGAGAACTACCTAACGGCTCGTGTGGACTCGCGGTTGCTTATTGCCTGTGAGACCATGAGCTGGCTGCTATTTTATGACACCGTACATTCTTGGACGATGCGGAACCAGAACTATTCGCTGTACGGAACCCTCCCATTGTGTATAGCGAGGTGTCATAGACTGCTGGCTTCGAGAGCTCAGCATAAGTTGAAGTTCCCTATGCAGGGACAGGAGGTAGGTGTTGTGGAGTTTACAGCTGTGGGAGAGAAAGGGTAAAGATAATCTACTTATGTTCCACTGCTATACATTTAGTTCTTTTATCTTTGGATAGGGTTACAGAGCTTTAAAAGTCTATAATTTTTTTATAGACTCCTTGACCTGATGGCAAGTGGATGTTGTCACTCATAAGACACCTTTATCAGTTCTCGGTTAGTAATCAAATGGCAAATACGTTGTTACCTCCGACATCTAAGATGGAATACTTTGTTATCATATTGTAAGCGAACCAGCGAACAGCGAACTCCATGAGATTGTGAAATTTCTCCTGTATGCTGAAAATGTTTTTCATGCATAATTTGCCAATGGATAAACATCCAAACCTGGGGCGATTTTATGTAAGCAATACTAACAGTAGTTCCTTATGGGATTAGAACTCATGAACCAAAGTGACGTAGCTAAAGGCTTAGCCCATGCGCTACTGAGTCTTTAATCATCTTTTCGTCGATCGGTGGTCTTAAAAAGGCTGTTGCAGATAATAAAGAATAATATTAAAAATACTTTTATTTCAGTACAATTTCCTTGCTTATAATGCTATGGGAATACGCGAATATAGTTTTAGTCTGACTTTTATTGCATTACTTACTAGTAATAGTTCATCGTGTAGTAGAAACAGAAACAGAAAAAGAAACTTATATTCAATATAGATTATAGATAATACTTATTGAAAGTCACTTTTTAATTTACCACTGGAAAAAACCCTCTGTCCCGGGAAGAACCTAGAGCATAGCGAAGTGTCAAAGACTGCTGGCTTCGAGAGCCCAGCATAGCTGCGTAAGAGAATCCACTACAGTATATCATCCTCTAGTTGTCGTATGTTATTCAGAGGCTAACTGAAACAGATAGGCGGAAGTATTATTAACAGTAACAACTTAAACGATTTCTTGTATTTACGCAAACACTACACATTGAATAAAACTACTTTTACATGTCACAATAAAAGCATCCTAATTTCAATAGAGAAGGAAGCTGGGTACTACCACCTGCTTGGGATCCTGTAATTAATTAAATTAAAACTAAACCCAAGCATACCACTGTAAGACTTGAAAGACACACTAAGTCCAATCTGCCTAGATCGGACCAAAAGTAATAATTAAAAAGCTGAAGGTTAGCGGGTTAACTCTAACATCGGGACGTCAATCACCTCAGTTATCCGTGACCTTTATTGCTGTAAAGCGCCCGAAACGGGAATAAAAAATAAATTAAAAAATGTACAATAAAACGCGATTAAATCCGTAATAATAGTTTTATTCAATGTAACGACTGTAGCAAATATCCCCCCTATTAGACAACTTTCGGGGGAGACATATCTTCGGCAGTGGAATTTTAATGGGGTGTGATTTATTATCATCATTACAGCCCTTCAATTGCTGAACATAGGCCTCCCGCAAGGAATGCCACAAAGCACGGTCCTGAGCCACCTGCATCCATCGACTTCCTGCATGTCTTACCAGTTCGGCACTCCATCTAGTGGGGGGACGCCCTAAATTTCGCCTGCCGGTACGAGGCTTCACCTCGAGAACTTTTTTTTCGGTTATCAGTTCTTTGAGCTATATGGCCGGCCCATTGCCATTTTAGCTTACTAATCCGTTGAGCTATGTCGGTCACTCTAGTTCTACTGCGGATATCCTCATTCCAAAGCTTATCACGCAGAGAAACCCCGAGCACAGCCCTCTCCATAGCTCGCTGAGCGACTTTGAGCTTCCTCATACGGCCAGCAGTAAAGACCCAGGTCTCAGAACCATAGGTCATCACTGGCAACACGCACTAGTTGTAAAATTTAGTTTTAAGGTTTTAGAATATGCCTGAAGAGAAGATGTGTCGTAATCTCCCGAACGCTGCCCAACCGAATTGAATTCGTCGATTGACCTCTTCGTCGAAGTTGGACTTACCTAGTCGGACTATTTGCCCCAGGTAAACATACTCGTCAATAACTTTGAGCTTAGTGCTCCCAAAAACTACCGGCATAGGTGTGACATGGACATTACATTTGTTTTGTCCATGTTCATCTGAAGACCTATCCGTTGGGAAACACTATTGAGGTCATTGAGCATAGTGCTTAGATCCTCCAACAATTCTGCCATAATTACTATATCGTCGGCTTATCGAAAGTGAATTATGTACTCGCCGTTGACGTTAATACCATATCCATTCCAGTCCAGTAGCTTGAGAAGGTCTTCCAATGCAGCGTTGAAGAGTTTCGGGGATATTACGTCACAATGTTTTACACCTCTTTGCAGTTGGGTAGATTTCGTTCTCTGGTTCTGTACTCGGATAGCCATCGTAACCCTACTGCACAAACACTTCAGCACTTCGATATACCGACAGTCAACTAGACACCGCAGAAGAGACTGCAGCAGCGCCCAATTTCGATGGAATCAAAGGCTTTCTCGCAGACCACATACGCAAGACAAAATGGCAGATTGTACTCTTCGGACTTCTGTACAATGAAACCGCAGTTCCTTATTGTTTTTTACCGTTATCAGAAAAATACTGCTGCCTTATCTTAGCCTCAATTTCTCTATGTCATCTCTTACGGCACCTACGGGAAGCTATGGGGCAGCGGGCTTCCTACCCGCCACTATACGGGGAGGGTTGTAATTAAAGAAATGTAATTGTTGCTTTATATTTCACAGATGTCCCGAAAGAAGACGGAATTAGACAGCATTGTATTGTCAGTGTGGCGAGGAAGTAGTCCCAATGTGGTTGTCAATCGCAACGTATTAAGGCTAGATTTGTTACCATTGTTGCCTTACTTGTTGACACCTACGTTACGATCCGCAAATATACAGGTATGGTATGTTAAATATTTTCTTTTCCCTGATAGCCACTTCCATATTGGCGCGTTGTGGAATCCGTAGCAAGAATATCCGTTGCAGAAATAAAGTCCAAACAGCTGAACGCTGACACAGTTTGTGATGTCATAATTTATATGTATTGATTTGTTGGTTTAAATAAAACATGTTTGAGAAAACCGTAGTATCTATGGTCCTCCTATGGTCATAGGTGCTGTAAATCGCTGATAAATGTATTGATGGAATTAAAAATTTGGGTGATATGAAAAAATTACTAGGTTAAACAGAAATGACGTATGTAAAACTGTTGTGAAAAAAAGGTGTTAGGGTCCAGGCTTCACTATATGGAGTGACCTGACCCTACATTGCGTTATACTGGTACAATTATAGGAAGGATTTTCCTTTATCGTCCACGCTAGGTGGTTTGGCAATCACAGTACCAGATGTCTTGCCCCTTTGACACGGCTTCACACCGTTAGTCTGATTATATTATACTTTAAATTATATGATACCGTGCTAGACTTATGAGATTTTTCTGACCTTTTCCATATTCGTCTCGTGCGAAAGCCGCGGGAAGAATTGGGCGATAGATTCTTTTAATTCTTTGCCATACTTTAATGTCATTCAGACCGAATTATGAGTCTTAGCTGAGACAAGTCACCTGTGCAGAACAGGACTAAAAACCTCCAGTGTGTGCGAAAGCACAGGTGGATTCTTTATTCCCTTACTCTTATAGTTTAATAGTATGACAATCCGACACAACTGCAGAGAGTAGGTGCAAGACCAAGGCTGTACCTGCTTTCTGAGGCAGGGTGGTGGAACATAGCTAACTTCCTAACTCTGGGCTGTTTTATCGGCAGTAAATGATCATCAACCGCGCTTTCGACCACTAGACCAACTAGGCAGTCACCTCCGCTATATACCACGTTTTTTTATATAGGATAGGATGACAAACGAGCACACAGTCCACCAGATGGTAAGTGGTTGTTGCGGCCCATAGACATCTACATCTATCCTCGATCTAAAAATCAAAATGCAGAGGCGTTGTCACCCGAGAGGACTAAGATGGAATGCCTCGTTTCCAGTAAAAAGGGTCTCCGGTTCTCTACACTCACCATACGAAATACAGTAGCACTAAGCTACTATTTCACGCTAGTATTCTGTGAGAGCGTGGTCCTTCCCCGGTCGAGTCGACCCATTCATGCTACAACTATACTACTAATATAACTGCAGCATGGCTCTACCACGACCACGTATAAAATTTTGCATTCAGTGTAAGGATTGCCACCTTTTTTTTGAACAAATATAGTATTTTTCTCAAAAAAAGATGCAAAAATACAGCACCTTTTATAAATTCAGAAGAAAAAAGTACACATTTATTTTTAATCTATGTAGTTTTCCGTATATATTTGTTATTGCTCTTTGCTTTGGTCGTCAATGATCTAACCACCTTACCTTATACCTTACCTTTAAAATAATCATAAGAGTCTTTAGTTTCATATTAAAATAAATTAACAATTAATTTTTAATTCAATTAATACAATCTTTTTCTTTCTTCTTTCAATTTTACATTAATGATGGAGAAAATTCTTTCCGTAAAACTTACTTATTCCGGACTTCCAATCCACAGTTAATATTAAAAAGCTCGACAGTTGAATTAGGGATAAAAATATAGTACTTTTCGTACTATATTTTTTATATAAAATATACAGTGGACCCCCAGTAATCCGACAAACATTTTGCAGGGCAGTGTCAGACTATCGAATTTGTCGAATTATAGAGTACTGCCTAAGACCCCTATAGTCCGGATATTTTTTGCAAAGGAGTACCTTGTAATTTTCAAATTACACATCCAATGATAAGATTCTATATGTTATATATGTACTCTGAAGTACAAATGATACTTCATTATGTATGTCAAATTTAGGTAGTAAATGAAATAGCACAATAGAGAGCTTATGTTTTATTATAAAATTATCGTCATTAAAGCTATAAAGCAATAATTTTACAATAGGAACTAATTGTGTACAAACAAAATGTACATACTACAATAATTAAAAAATATCAATCAATCAATTTAAGAAGCATCAATTTAAGAGGGTTATCAAGAAACAATAACGATTTTTGAGGAAAATTATGATTTTTCAACTTTTTTCTCTTTTGTGGGGCTGTTTTACATTTATAAATTAAAAAAAGATGAACATCTAGACTCAAAACAATCATTTTTGCAGGTCTTCCATATAAACAATTGTTCCTTTGGTGATTCGAATACTCCGTACGCAGAGCAGAGCTAAAGGTTTTGCCACTATGCTGCCGTGCGATCCAAACCGAAAAATAATACCAACCATAAAATAATTTTAGGGTGATATGACTTTTTTTGTAGCTGTGCAGCGAAAGTGAACGGCAGACTCTGCGAGTGTGCGCGGGCGCCATGTGCGACTACGGCCTGCAGTACATACAGCAACGCACGCCCGAAGGACTGTACGCGTTCGTTCTCGAGCCCGATATACACAAGGTGGCGTTTTTAGGTGAGTCGGCTTACACTATTAAACACTACTACAATTTCTGTGTTATAAATGGATGAGAATCTTAAGCCTGTATACAATTTGGGCCAGAAATGAATTACCTCTTTAAAATTAATAATAGAGTACCCGGTTGACCCAGCTTTGCTCGGTATTTTTCGCTCGGTTTTTTTTAATTCGTGTGTTTTGGAAATTATATTTAGATACAAATTACATACTGATGAAATAAGAATAATATTTTTTGATCTTACCGACGTAATAGAAAAAACTGAACTGGTTATTTGAATAAAAAATCATGCGTGCTTTAAAAAATACTAAAAAAGGGCTCGAAAAAATAGATTTTCTCAAAAAAGAAAGGAACTTCAAAAAAAATTAAAAAAAGTCGGTCGATCGGTCTGGGCTCGGACCATGGTATTACGATTTTGTGACCGCCCAATATACCAATTAAGCTATTTGTAATCATTAATAAATCGTCAAAATTTACCTTCTTATTCTAACGATATTGTAGCAGTTTTTCATTGCCTAAAAACATGGACAAAAAGACATTTTCTAAAAATAAATCTTAGCTAGATCGATTTATTGCCCCCGAAACTCCCTGCACATAAAATTTTATGAAAATCGTTGGAGCCGTTTCCGAGATTCCGATTATAAAAAATAAAAAAATATATATATATATACAAGAATTGCTGGTTTAAAGGTATAGGATAATAGTCAATTGTCCCATAGACAAGAAAATTAAAACTTGTCCCATATAACTATTGACACTGTATAAACTTTTGTCTGAGCCGTCGTAGATCATGGGTTCAGCTTAAATTTCACGGAATGCGAGCAACTCGGGTTCGAGTGCCGCCGGCACTCACGAAATTGTTAATTTGCATATTGAATTGAATTGAAGAACCACTGGCCATGGCGCACATTTTATGTAACCGAGATCGTCGATCCGCTTGCAAATACGACAGTTATAGATAAACCTCTCAATTTGAGTATTTGCAGTCTGATAAATAAGGTTATTCCGTACGTCTTTTAGAGTTCTTGAGATGATTTGCAAATCTCTCTTACTTATTTGATTTTAACAATAAAATTGGTAGTGAGGGGGTTTGATTTTAAGTTGTTTGCACAGAAATAGTAATAATAAGACAAAAGAAATGAATTAGCGCTCGATTACTTCCAAACCGATGTCGACACATACGCGTTAAGCGACCGATGCCTGCAGCCATATTATAAACATACGCAATGCACAATGATTATTTTTATAAGACAGGGTAGCACACAGTCCACCTGATGGTAAGTGGTTGCTTTGGCCCACAGACATCTACATCTATCCTCGATTACGAATCAAAATGCTGATGCATTGTCACCCGTGAGGACTAGTATGGAATGCCTCGTCTCCAGTAAAAAGGGTCTCCGGTTCTCTACACTCAACGTACGAAACACAGCACCATTACGCTACTATTTTACGCTGGTATTCTGTAAGAGCGTGGTCCTACTCCGTTCGAACCGACCCATTCGTGCTACAACTATACTACTAACATAACTGCAGTATGGCTCTACCACGTAACACGTTGGCGAGTTTGTCAACGTCGCGTGCGTCGCGTATTTGGTAGAACAAAAGCAGCAACGGTAGTTGTAAATACGAAAAGTAATAAATGAAAGTTCACAAAGGTAAATATCATAGTAAAGTATTCATCTGGAACTAAATTAGTCAAAACAATGATAATAAGTAAATAATCAACTTACCGATAAAATGTTATGCCTTTATAAATTGAATTACACTTCCTTGATCAGTTGTTACAACTGATTATGATGCAATTCACCATTATAATAACATAAATTCAGGTACGACGTTCCCCGCCCAATTAAATAACAAAATGGTGAATGACATTCGTCAACACATCACAGCGGGTACAAGGTCACGCGTCTATGCGACTTCTATTGTCTTATTATAACGATTTCTGTGGTTGTTTGCATTTAAATTTTGTGCTAGTGCGGCACGGTGTGCTCATTAATCATGTGCTCGGCGGTGAAGGAAACCATCTTCATCAAACCTCTGACGATGAAAGTTAGAGGGCATGGGAAATCTGCTGTGGAGCAGCGGGAATATTTTAAAACCTTCGCGTCATGTCATTTTAAGTGTTTACAAGAATAAGGTTTTAATCATCATCAACACCTTAATTACAGCCCGTTATAAGTCTTCTCCTTAATGCCGCGTCCGCATTTTTGGCACTGGCCGCAAACTCTGAATCTCTACAAACGTTTGACTTGATTTTGGGAATCAAACGTCGCCATCCACACGCTTGCCACTGCGTTTGTTTATTCTGAGGAGGCAAGCACGACGAACGTCGAGGTTGTTGTGTCGGTCATAACATTTAGCTTAAGTAATTTTTATTATAAACACAATAAAACAGGTGAAAGAAAACGTAAAATACGACGAAGGAAATGGTGGATGTTAAAAATTCATAAAAACCGTACCAGGTTATTAAGAAATTATTTTATTATACTTTAATTAATTAAATAATTTAATACCCACAAGCGTGTTAACGCGTCGCAAGCTTGCGCCAAATTCCCTTTGATTAGTGACAAAACGACACTCGACGGATCGGCTACAAGCGCTGCACACCTACGCGAAATAAGCCAAACATTCTATCCATAAGCGTTCTCTACAGATCGCCACGAAGCACGGTCCTGAGCCACCTGCTTCCTGCCTGCTAAACCGCCTCTTATAGGTGGCAGCAATGGTAACTATAGCAAATGTCCCTGCTGCAGTACATACATTTAGTTTTTTTTTTTTATTTGATTGAAATAGGTAACGAAGAACGAGTTAGACCACAACCGGCAATACGGCAGGCGATAGCGAGGGAACAACAGTTGGAAATGATAAGGCGGAATGAAGAAATGGTGAGTGGAATATTTAACCTACACAAATACAGGCTCAATTTACATTGCGGTGAAATGGAATGGAACGGTAGCGTCACGACTTCGCCTCGTAGCTATGCCGTAACAGTCGCCTTGGGGCTGTAGAAAAGTTAGTCTAGATTCCGCGCCCTTCGCGCCACTTCCCGCGAATTCTACAGACCGCCGACAGTAGCTAGGGGAATCCTCGAGAATTACCCGAAAGACGCGCGACTTCTTTTTTTGCTCATATCTAGTTTGCGCGTTACACAATTAACATAAGACTCATTTTACTATGTACAATTTCGTTACCGTGGTAGCTCAGATGGATAACGCTCGCTGTAATATAACAGAATGCGAGTAACCCGGGTTCGATCCCCGCCGGCACCAATGAAATTGTTAATTGCAATTTTAAGTGCTGATTTACCACGTGCTCGGCGGTGAAGGAAAACATCGTGAGGAAACCTGCATGTCTGAGGAATAAGATAAAAAATATTTCTAAGACATGTGAAGTTCGCCAACACGCATTGGGGCAGCGCGGCGGACACTTGCTAGCCCTAAAACCCTCTCAGAAATGAGGGGAGGCCTGTGCTCAGCAGTGGGACGTATATAGGCTGTAACATTACATTACATTACAATTTCGTTACAAAAATTCGCTTCCATTCCGCGGCAGTGTAAATTGAGCCTAAAGTATTCCGTATATAATGAGAACTAATAATTTTATGCGCACCAGGTATCACGAGATGGGACTAAGGTGATTATTATGATTTTAAGGTTTATGATAGGATTATTATAGAAGGATTATGATATTAAGGTGAGGGACAATTAATTACATAACGAAATAAAAAATACGTGTGGCACTCGGGGACTGCCGCGTTAAGAGCGCATATTCAAATATGTCCAAGTCGAAATCTACGCGATCGCTTTGGAACGGAACGTATTTGGAACGTAATATTGACGCACACTACAATGTTATTATCTCTGTGTGTTTGTCAGGATGAGCGTGAGGCTATAATAGTTGCCTTTAGAATCACTTTGATCTTTGATTATATACCTCTCTTTGATACTATTGGAACTAAAATAATAAAAAAAATATTTCCATATAATGGCTTATATAGTGTATAGAAATCGGAGGCTAATATGTGGAAATTGTTTTATTCTTTTAGTAAATTGAAGTCGGCTTTACATTTTCACCCTATTGAGTGTATTATAATATATGTTGTAATTGAAAAATATGTATTGTATAAAATATATATCATTTGATAAACTTTTATTCTGTTTCATAATGTAAATATAATTCATCAAACTAACAATTTCATTAGTGTCGACGGGGATTAGTGTTGCCAGATCTAGCAAGTAAAATTTCGGGACGGAAGGTAAAAATAATCGGGCATTTGGTTTTCATATCCGGACATCTAAAATGATGTCTTTGTAGCCTTTTTGTGCTTTATTGAGAGCCGTGGTAGCTCAGATGGTCAACGCTCACTGTAAATACGCAAAATATGCACAGTATGCGAATAATGCGAGAAATTGTGACTGTAACTTTACTTTACTTTTGCGCTTTATAATTATTATTCGGTTCTGATCTCATGAACGAATAACTTTTCATACAAACATCGTAAAAACTGAATTTTTTTTCATTTTAGGCAAATTAAAACATTTTTGAACTATTTGTTTTTTCTTGCAGTACCTGAATTTTTCAAATCACTCATTTTAATATAATTCTCTTTAAAACTTTTCGACTGGTGAGACAATGTCGTAGTAAAAATATTTTAATGTGGTAGTAGCTAACAGATGTAATCATTTTTGCTGTCAAAATTATGGATTAAAGTACAGAATAAGAAGGTTAGTGAAAATCGGGAGATTTGGCGTCCCGATCAAGGATGAATCGGGACGTGTCACTAGACCCTTGAAAATCGGGACGTCCCGCGCAAATCGGGACACCTGGCAACACTAGCGGGGATCAAACCCGGATTGTTCGCGTTTACGGCGAGATATCTGGGGGCACGGTAGTACCCCCGCCAAGTCGAGCAAAACAGCGGCACGGCTGTATCGTCATTGCGAGACTTGGTTATTTTACAAGTTATGTTTTGATGGCATGTCTTTGTTTAATTATAACGTTATCTCCACACTAGGAATTTTTCCTAAGTACATCGTGGGGGCAGTTTAAATACATTAATTTCACAAGGACAAACATCCAGACCTGGAACAATTATTTGTAGGTAATACAAATTTTTGTTCCATGTGGGATTCGAACCTGCGGCGCTCAGCGTTACAACTCGTTACCAAGTCACTCCGCCACGGAGCCAAAGGTGAAAGCCAACGATTTTGTATTTTTACTTGATCCGAATTGCTTACGTTCATTACTCATTTCTAAAAAAATATGTATGAAATGAAAATTTGCAACCATTACATCATTTAATATTTAAATATTACTATCATAAACATATTTCAAAATTACTTACTATCAAAAATATCGCTTATAAAAGTCTCAATCGTTTAAAATGCTGGATGGTGCTATAGGTATCTAGTTATAGTATAGTGTAGTATAGCCCTATCGGTGTATCAACGCGATCGCGCGGTGTCGGTGAGAAAAAGTACGTCCTACCGTTTGGATATTAAACATTACATGTATTTGGATAAAATAATTAAAATAGATATGTTTATAACCAAATACATGGAAAAAATTACATTGAAGTAGACAGTTTTGGTGATTTTATAATATTAAATCGAAATATTTTCGCAATTTAGGTTTTGCTATACACTAAAAGACTATATATTCCATTATAATAACGCTTAAAGTAAAGTATTTTAGCTTATAATAATGGTTGTATTCAACATGAAAGATAACTCTGATGCATATTTTCGTAAAGCGCTGTGAAGGGATTATCTTCGCCCTAAAAAACCGTCATTAAAAACTATGATTTTGCACTGCTATGTACTTAATAAAGACTTCATCTTTCTAAAACCCTAATTTTCAGCAAGTAATCTCCTCACATCGTTACGATACCGCCTTTGGAAAAACCATAAAACATGTACTTTTCGACGCGAAACGCATATGCCCTCTTAAAGCTATTGCATAGCATTTTTATCAACTTATACAATTATAATTATTTATTTATTTTATTTATGTAGTAGGTATATTTTTCTTTCATATTAATTTTTTTCTTTGATATTAATTCAAGTTACACTTTTTGATCGTGGTGACTTATAAGAAAACAATTTTTTTTCTTTTATTGAATAAACGAGAAGTTAATATTGTTTAAAATATTTTTATTATCTTACAATAGATATAGGTTATTCAGGAATTTTTATCATTGAAACTTTATGTTGATGGTAATTAACGAGTTCATCCGACAAACGATAATTTTCTATAAAGTCTGTGTTTATTAAATACTCTAAATTCGCGAAAGTTGCTAGCATGACGACGACTCATATAAATCCAAAGAATGTGTTTCTTTCAATAAACTGTATTGTTGTTTAAAATATGTTTATTAGCTTACAATACATGCAACTAGTCTACAGGCATACGTCGCACGCACACAAACACCTTGCCGAAGTCTGCTGAACTGAAACGACGTTAGACGATGTTAGGTTTTGGGGTGTTAGGTTTTTCCTCAAGGAATTTCTTGATTCAGTCGCCGCGCTCAAAGCCCGTGATAAAAGCTATGCAATAGCTTAAAATAAAACAACAACTTGACAGATACATTAAATGAAAGTATGTTTAATTATAGAAAAAGTTACCTGGTAGGTCTCACTGCCGGGCAGAGGCCTATTCTCATTTCTGAGAGCGTTTTAGGGCAAGAATGTGTCCGCCGCTCTGCCCCAATGCTTGTTGGCGAACTTCGCTTGTCTTCGTAATATTTTTTTTGTTATTACTCAGACATGCCGGTTTCCTTACGATGTTAACCTTTACCGCCCAGCCCGTGGTAAATCAGCACTTGAAGTTGAAATTAACACTTTTATTGGTGCCGGCGGGGATCTAATCCAGGTTGCTCGCGTACTGTGAAATTTACAGCGAGCGCTAACTATCTGAGCTCGACTCGTTTAAATATAAATTACTCTTCAAATACGTCAGGTGGACATCAGGTCGGCTGTGCTCTCGTGTATATATCATCCTTATGATTTTGTGATCCTTCATATGGATTTGTGAATCACAAGGGCTTACAATACACCGGTGGCTTTTACTTTTGTGGTATGTTATTACAGTTTTCCATAGTCTTCTATGGTCACTTACAATTTGTTGGATCGCAAACTTTCTTGTTACTACTAGTTCTATAAAAAACGTTTCAAATCAACTGGTTCTAATAGTAATAACATGCCTCCAAAAACTAAACTCATCTTTGCCTGATGTATCTGATGATGTGCTGATTGGCGGAAAAAGTTTTGACGATCGACTGATGGCGGGAATCGTTCCAAAGATATTGAATTTAAATCCCACAGTCTAGTGATAATACAACGGGAAGGCCCTCACCTCCAGCGGTCAACTTAAAAGGCTGATAGTTTATGGTTATGATAGATAGTATTTGGTTTTTTTTTGCGTAGATCGAAATTTTTAATGAAATTTTTACAATTTAGCGTGATATTAAACGTTTTATATTTTCAGGCTGGCAGGGTGAACCCTAGAAAAAACAATGAAGCTAGTAAAAGTAAGAGGGAAGATAATACAGGAGAGATTAACAGCGCGGACGGTAAGGAATCGAGACTGCCGAACCACTTGCAGAGGTTGCAGCCGAAAGCTGTAGAAAAAAGCACGCCTCAGGTAAGAGAAATAATTATCCACCATCTTTTTAAGTCCACTGCTGGACACAGCATTTATTAATGTTCCCGTATCTTTATTCTCATAAGAATATACATTCACTTACATGAGAATAGTTTAAAAAATAAATTACAAACTTTGGGAATAATTGCAGAAGCTAAATAACAAAATAAATTTTATCAAATGTTTTGACGGTATAGTAACTTAACTCTTTTAGAACCTCGGGCTGGAATACAAGTTTACATGTTTGTTACAAAGATCAAGCGTGACTAGAAGTGGCTCATATTATTGCAGCGTGTGAAATGTGTTTAGTATATAATGTTTGAGTAGTTTTTTAAAAGTAGCTATGTTTTTGATTCTCTTATATTTCTTGGCAATTCATTGTATGAATCAGCTCTTTCATGCAGAATACTTTTTTTCCATAGATTGTTTAGGGTGCGAACGATTTTATATCTTTTTCTGATCATAATTTTATTTTAGGTACTTTTTTATTGTTACTTAAGAGTGATATTAGTTTGTATATCTTTATTTAGTATTTTTCGTTCTAGTATGCAACTATTATATATGTATATTTAAGTAACATTCATCAATTTGGTTTGTTTATAAAAAATGTTGTGTTGACCTAGGATAGTCGTAATTGAATAATCATCATCATCATCATCATTACAGCCCTTCAAAAGTCCACTGCTGAACATAGGCCTCCCCCAAGTAATGCCACAAAGCACGGTCCTGAGCCACCTGCACCCATCGACTTCCTGCATGTCTTACCAGGTCGTCACTCCATCTAGTGGGGGTCGCCCTACACTACGCCTACCGGTACGAGGCTGCCACTCGAGAACCTTTCTTCCCCATCGGTTATCGGTTCTTCGAGCTATATGGCCGGCCCATTGCCACTTCAGCTTACTAATCCGTTGGGCTATGTCGGTCACTCTGGTTTCACTGCGGATATCCTCATTTCTGAGTCTATCACGCAGTGAAACTCCGAGCATAGCCCTCTCCATAGCTCGCTGAGCGACCTTGAGCGTCCTCATACGGCCAGCGGTGAAGGACCACGTCTCAGATCCGTAAGTCATACTGGCAACACGCACTGGTTGCACACTTTAGTTTTCAGAGATTGAGGTATACCTGACGAGAAGATGTGTCGTAATTTCCCGAACGCTGCCCAGCCGAGTTGAATCTGTCGATTGACCTCTCGGTCGAAGTTGGACTTACCTAGTCGGACTATTTGTCCCAGGTAAACGTACTCGTCAACAACTTCGAGCATAGTGCTCCCAACAATTACCTGCATAGGTGTGACATGGACATTAAACATGATCTTTGTTTTGTCCATGTTCATCTTAAGACCTATCCGTTGGGAGACACCATTGAGGTCATTGAGCATAGTGCTAAGGTCCTCCAGCGATTCAGCCATAAGGACTATATCGTCGGCAAATCGAAGGTGAGTGATGTACTCGCCATTGATGTTAATACCGTATCCTTTCCAGTCCAGTAGCTTGAAAACGTCTTCCAACGCAGCGGTGAAGAGTTTCGGGGATATAACATCACCCTGTCTTACACCTCTCTGCAGTTGGATAGGTTTCGTACTCTGGTTCTGTACTCGGATAGCCATCGTAGCCCTACTGTACAAACACTTCGGCACTTCAATATACCGACAGTCAACTAGGCACCGCTGAAGAGACTGTAGCACCGCCCAAATTTCGACGGAATCAAAGGCTTTCTCATAGTCCACATCCGCCAGGCAAAGTGGCGGATTGTACTCTTCGGACTTCTGTACAATTTGCCGAAGGGTATGTATGTGGTCTATGGTACTGAAGCCTTTTCGGAAACCGGCTTGTTCGGGAGGTTGGAAGTCGTCGAGTCTGCGTGCGAGACGATTCGTAATGACTCTCGAAAACAGCACGTAGACGCGGCTCAGAAGGGAAATCGGTCTGTAGTTCTTCAAGAGAGCGTTGTCGCCTTTCTTAAAAAACAAGACCACCGCGCTTCTGCTCCACGCCTCCGGAGTAATGCCACCATGGTGGACGGAATTGAAGAGCTTCTGAAGGACTTCAAGTACCGGTGTTCCACCCGCTTTCAGAAGCTCCACTGTAATTTCATCCTCGCCTAATCTCGCTCAGACTGACGTCCGGGATATCATCGGAATAGTGTCGGATAAAACTTGCTCTTGGATCGTTACTCACACTTGCGTGTGGCTCCAACGATGATGTGTACAGCTGCCCATAGAACCTCTCAATCTCACTCAGAATCTCAGGTGTCCCGGAAACGATGTTGCCACACTCAGTCTTCAGCCTTGACAGTTGGCTCCTTCTGGCAGACAGATCTCTGGCAAAGACTTTGGAGCCCTGGTTCCGCTCGATCGCTTCTTTAATACGAGCAGTATTAAAATTGCGTAAGTCTCGCCGCATGCATTTGGAGATCAGTCTGTTCAGCTGCCTGTATGCTGTCAAATCTGTTGACGATTGCAGCCTCATCTCCCGTCTAACAGTCATGAGATTAAGAGTGTGATCGGAGAGTTTTTGTGTTCTTCTGCGGCGGGTCTGGCAGAACTTAGCTCCGACCGCATGGACAGTTTCCACGAGCTTGTCATTCATATCGTCCACTGCATTGCAATCCTCTAGGCACTGAAAGCGGTTTTGTAACTCGAGCTGAAAGGTTTCGGGATTCTGGATTAGAGCACGAGGGGGACGGAGCGTTGACTTCATTAGACGAGACCTCTCCAACTTAACGTTTAGGTTCAGTGTGCCTCTAACCATTCGGTGATCGCTGCCAGTTTTCACCCTTGCGATTACTGAGACATCACTGAACAGTTGTCGTCTGGTCGTCATAATGAAGTCAATCTCATTTTTTGTCGAACCGTCGGGGCTCGACCAGGTCCACTTCCTGTGGGGCCGCTTCTGGAAGAAAGAGTTCATCATAAAGAGTCCCTCTTTCTCCATAAAGTCGGCCAGCTGCTGGCCCCTTCGGTTCCGTTGCCCTACTCCAAATTTCCCCACCTTCAGCTCACCGCTTTCTCTTGTGCCCAGTTTTGCGTCAGTCTCCCATCAACACCGTGTAGTGGGTTTTGGAAGAATGCATGGCTCTGGAAATATCCTCATACATTTCCTCCACCTCCTCATCGGGATGTGCCGAGGTTGGTGCGTAAACCTGTATGACCTTCAGCGAATACCGTTTGGTGATTCTGAGTATCAGGTACGCGACCCTCGTCGACACACTCCCAATCTTTACAACGTTGTTGACGAGAGACTTGTGGACGATAAATCCGACACCTCCTTGGGACAGATGGTCGCCCTCCCGGTGGTAGAACAAGTTGCCGGACTCGAGGATTGGCGTATCCTCCCCCCTCTCTTCGGACCTCGGATAATCCAATAATATGCCAGCGCAATTTGTCTACCTCTTCTTCCAGCTCCAGTATCTTCTCGTCGGTCCTCAGGGTGCGTGCGTTATATGTTGCCAGGTCGAGTCGTCGTAGGTGGCAACCGAACCTCCACCGGAGATTCTTAGCACCCCCTGCCCCGCCGTTACCATGGTCGCCACCGTTTCCAGGAATAGCGGGGCCGCCGGGGACTGGGGGCCGTTTTTTTTGCGTCATTATTCATGGGGGGGAATATTTGCCATAGTTGCCACGCTTGGCGAGCGGGTTGGCAACCGCAGTTTTTTATTATAACGCAGTTGTTATCAGGAAGATGCTGCTGCCCATCTCCTGCCTGTCTCCCTCAGTCGCCTCTTACGACACCCACCCACATGGAAGATATGGGGTAGTGGATATTCTTAACCGCCACTACACGACAAATTGAATAATATTTGAAATAATTTATTTTATGCGTTTTGATTAAAACTACTTTTACGGATTTAATCGCGTTTATTTTTAATTTTTAATTATTTTTATTTTTAATTCTCGACGTTTCGGGTGCTTTCCAGCACCGATGGTCACTGGGGACTGAGATGACTGACGTCTCGATGTCATTGTTAAACCCGGAGTACCTTCAGCTTTTTTAATTATTGTATATAGTCCGATCTATGCAAAATGAACTGACTATGTCCTGAGGTCTTGCAGTGCTATGCTAGGGCTTAGTTTTAATTTTATTGATTATAGGGTCCCAAGCAGGTGGTAGTACCCAGCCTCCTTGTCTATTGAAATTAGGATGTTTTTTAATTTCAATAGCCTCACGTATCATCCTCGGTAGGAATCGGTATTCTTTCGCGAGGATTTGTGGTCTATCAAATCTGATGTAATGGTTGGGGCCGTCTAGGATATGATCACAAACTTTCCGCAACGTTGATGCTTCACATCAGCTATATGTTCCTTCACGCGGGTTTTAATTGATCTTTTTGTTTGTTCTATATAAGAGAGACCACATTCACAATCAAGCTTGTACACTCCTGCATCTTGCAGAGGAATATGACACTTGACGGATGGTAGGAACTGACTAATCTTCTTCGGCGGCTTGTAGAATGTTCTAATAGAAGCTCGCTTCAAGATGTAGCCAATCTTGTCTGTGACACCTCTGACATATGGTGGTACAGCAGGCACACGCTCGACTATGGCCGGCTTCACTCGGTCACTGTGACGTAGGCGCGGTACCTGAAGCTTGTTGTAGTGCAGAACCTGCTTGACGTGCTGAAGCTCGGCGGCCAGGTGTTTGGTGTCACAGATCCCTCGTACTCTCTGTAACAAAGATTTGCCCACGGTAGCTAACTTTGAAGGATGGTGGTGAGATTCACCGTTTAAATATCGGTTTGTATGGGTCTTTTTTCTATACACAGTGTGACCTATGGTGTTGTTAGGATTTCGGATGACTAAAACATCTAGGAAAGGTAAGGAATTATTAGCCTCTAACTCCATAGTAAATTGAATTTTAGAGTTTATGGAATTAAGATTTACTAAAAATGCAGTTACTTTGTCTAATGGTAAAATTGTGAAAGTATCGTCTACGTACCGCTTGTAGATCCTTGGTATAACAGGTGCAGTAAGGAGGGCTTTCTCCTCAAAGTCTTCCATGAAT